CTATATGCCATTGCACTCCCGAAGGGAAAGAAGAGTACCAGAGGTTGCAAGGGCCTATGTAATAGTCCCGACATCTTCCAAAGGAAGATGAAAGCACGCATGCATGACTTAGAAAATGTCCGTGCATACGTTGATGATCAAATATCCTAACGGACGTCGATCTCGCAGATCGCGTTGAACAGTAGGATGACCTTTCCCCAAAGACTCCAAGAAGTCGGATTGAAATCAACACTACCAAGGCCTTCCTCGATAGGAAGAACTGAGTATCTAGACAATTGGACTTCTCGAGAAGGAAGCCAACTCTTAACTAAAAAGAAAACAGATGCGATCCAGCTATCGCTCTTCCTACCAACAGGAAGTAACTTCGTAGATTCATTGGACCAATGAACTACCAAGGGCTGCTCCACGACAGCAGACGGAGTAACATCGTTCTGAACCAGACGTGGGTTACCCAGGATCCATGACCGGTGTCATGGACAAGAGAACGTGAGTCCCGCGTAGAGGTCGAGAAGACTCTCCGGGATGAACATGGACTTCGTCGCAAGTTCACGCGCGTCAATCGTGACAAGCTTCACCACATCCGTTTCAAAGCAAACCGGAAATACATCAAGGAACGTCGCCAACGACTTATCCAGAAAAACACCGATAAGGAGAAACGGCACGTGTCCCTCATCAACACCATGTCAACGACACTATGATGATTCATCAGATCAGAACCGTTAATACGGTCAGCCACGCACAAGGTCCTTACCCAACAGACACAGAACGAGTCAATAACAATGGCACTGCACGGCTCCGACATACACCCCATAGCGCACAGCTTACCAGACTTGGAACATAAGGTATTTACACCCATACAAGGCCTGATCCCTTGTAGGATTGCCATCGTGCACGCACATGTCTACATCCAATCTCGGAGAGTGCCCCCGCACTTTAATTCATATGTTCTTCTTGTCCGACTGATGTCGTGCCTTCCGTGACCCTTGTCAGGGGGCGAATGCAATACACGGCTCTTAGCCTTATTCGCGACTCGATCCTAGATAGGGTTTGAGTTCGACTCATGACTGAGTCTTTCGTGATAGTCATTGAGACAGGGTTCTCATGACCGCTAGTCATACTAGGTCGATGGTGAAACATCGCGCTAGAAATTTAGCTGGCGTGGAGAGAATCCACGCTACTAGATAAATGCTAGACGAATCTTCCACGCGTTCCGTTTTTGGATCGTGGAGTGAGTAGGATTGCTACCGCAACCTACTCTATCACACTCTACAGTCTCCCGCGGGAGTTCAGATCTACGATCCTTTGATTGTGGATCTCTCTCGTCGATTAGTTTTCATAGCTTTCTAATCCTCTCATAACTTTCATTCTCTCAAACTCAAAACACTCGAAAGATCTTTACACTAGCTTTTAGCGTAGTGCACTGTTGTTGTTGTTGTTCAATTTTGCGAGTTCATAAGCTCTCTTCTTCTGGGAGTTTCTATTCTGGCTTTCCTCCATTTTGTGTTGTTGTTGTTGCTGCTGCTGCTGCAGCAGCAGTTGGTGGCTCCATGGCGCTGCTGTTGCTTGCTTTTTTGGCTGAGAAATGACCATGGAGTGAGAGCGTCAAGAGCGACCAGCGCCATTGTGGACGATCGGCGCTTTCGGAATCCGACTTTCGACGTTCTCGAAAACAGAAAATGGCGACTAGGTAGCACAGTTTCCCTGTAATCTTTATAAACGGTACGTTAAGTATATTTGAATTTCGCCGACTCATTTGCTGATGTCATAGGTTGATTAGCCAATCAGATCACTGCCTTCTACCGCTTTCACCCTTACAGTCGTACTCTAGCTAGCTAGATGGCAAGCTATTCTGGCTACAGCATATTCATCGACAATTCCCCATTCAATGTAGTTGATGGTGCGTTGCTTTACCTTCAGGTTTCTCAGTTTTGCTCTAGCTAGAACCGTAGCAATCGGTAGCTGCACCAAGAAGCCTGGTGCAAAGACAAAGTCACCCTCTCAAAACCCTCAGAAGGTTGTCCTCGTGTCACCATAGGACTGGTACAGTCGTACCGCAAGGCCTTCCTATCGTTAGCCACCCATTGCTTGCGTTGCGAATGCCTACTGTAGGTTTCTCCGACTGGTCCCCACGCATCATGATGCTTGACGTTCCAAAAACACAGCAGAGCTAGCTAGGTACCGGTGACCTGGATGTGTCGTGCCAAGCAAAATTTCCAAAAGTGCCAGGCAGCGCACCGCTCCTTCCTCGCGAAAACAAAGAGGAAAAAGTAACGGCAGCATGTGGGATAACTGTTGAACACACATGGAATGCCGAGTGCCATTACTATTTTCATTTGTGCTCTCCGTTTCGGGATCGCATCTCACTGCTCCTTCCTTCCTCTTCCATCTTCCTTCCCGTCTCGTCATTCTCATCCAACAAATACCACCATGCGGCAAGGCTACTACCACTATATCTTGGAACGGTGTGGATTGTCTGTAGTTGTAGTAGTAGTAGTCAAAGTATGGCTGGTGTTGGTGATGGCAACGACGGTCTGCGGCTTTGTACCACCTCCGCTAGATTCCCATGAGGGCTGGGAGCCCATTCATCAAATGAGACAACGTCTTGGATTGCAGTACAATTATACCCCTGATCTATTAAACCCCGAAATGTGTCGTTATCTCTCCGAGCAAGAATGTCAGGATGCGGATGAAGCCCTGATTGCTCATTCCGAACGAATGAAGAAATTGCCAGCATTGGCAAGACAACGACGAGAGAGAAACCTACGGGCGGAACAAACAGCAGAAGCAAAGTCACACTTGAGATCTGGAGAGGAGAATGACGAAACAAGGCAGCAACAACAACAGCAACAACAAGGAGAGCGAGATTTACAGATGAATCCGAATCCTGCCACTGGTGTAGTTAGAGTGCTGGTCCTATTGCTACAATTCACGGACCACGTGGATCGACCATTGCTGGACCCAGCCATCTACGATGCCATTTGGACGGGAAAGGACAAATCTCCTTTGATTCCTTCCGGTTCCGTCAAGGAATGGTTCCGTCAAAACTCTTATGGACTGTACGAAATTGAACCCGTCATTGTACCATGGACGCTCTCCGATAATTCAGAGCTCTACTACAGCTTTGGATCCTCCGGGTTGGTCCCGGACTTTCAACAAGCCTTTTGGCCGGCACTAGACAAGTTAGACCAGGAGGGCATTGACTGGAGTCTATACGATGCCGACGGCGATGGACGCTTGGATGCCGTCACCGTATTACATACTGGATATGCCGCAGAATTGAAGGGTGTCGATTGCAATTCCGATCGAGACTATTCCAATAGAATATGGAGTCATGCCTTTGCTGATTCTCTCAACAGTTGGTATTCACGGAGTGGACTGTATCGAGTGGGAGGATACATGATTGCCTCGGCGTACCGAGATACCTGTAAGTTTGAGCCGGCTAGAATTGGAACCATGACACATGAGTTCTTGCATACGTTGGGACTCGTCGATTTGTACGATGGGCAAGCGGCAAGAGTTGGACGAGGTACGGGAGGATTCGATATAATGGCCACGCCCTACGGGCCCAAAGATGACCCAAGTTGGCCAGGACATCTCAGTGCGTGGTCCAGGATCAAAATTGGATGGATGATGCCCATTGAAATTACGGAAGATGGAGAATACTCCATCCAAGCGTCGGAGCTCTCCAACCAAGCCTATGTCATTCGAAAGCCGTATCCCTTTATGGAATATCTACTCATTGAGAACCGACAGCCGCTCCGGTTTGATGCTCGACTCTGGACCGGAGGACTGGTGATCTATCATATTGACGACAGAGCTAGCCTGCAACTCAAGCGAGGCTATCCTGGACAAGAAGGATGGCCAAGGAATGGGTAAGTGGCAGCACAAGAGACAATGAATGCGCTTAGTTTTTATTTCGTCACTTTTCTAACTTATCTTTGTTGATCCTTCATTGTTGTCTTCAGGCATCACTATCAAGTGGCTGTTCTGGCATCGGACGGACAATACAATCTCGAAAAGGGAGACAACAACGGCGATGTTGGGGATTTCTGGAAAGAGGGAATGACACTCGGGCCTGGAAATGGACGTTCTTTCCCCAACACGGATGCCTACCAGTTTGGTGCGATCCGGGTCACTGGCGTCACAATTGACAACATCAAGAAAATTGATACCGTCATGACCTTTCGAGTGACAGGTTTGTCCACGAGTGCAGGGCCCGTGCCAAAGCCAATTCCTTCTTCCACTGTTTCCCCAAGTGACGGGGAACTTTTACCTGTGGAGGACGTGACACCAACAATGGTGCCATTCTCGGACAATGTGAACCATTCTGCCACTGTCTACTCTTCCGGTAGCAAACCAATGCCGCCGAATGCGACGACATTGGGCGCCAAGCCTGCAGAGGCTACGTCTTCTGGCTTTTCATTTTTCCACTATTACGGTTTCTGGACTCTTTCTTCCGCAATCGGTTCTTTGGTTGCACTTGTACTTTAGTCCTAGCTGGTTTGGTCGCAGGATAGAACATGGCGCTACCTGGCCGCCGAGGCCTTTCAACGCAAAACGGTGAAGAGCAGATTGCTCCAGGCTTTGATGTAATGATATCACCACCAAACCAACCGGTGCGGCGCCAATGCTGGTCCCCACCTGTAGTCAACTCTCGGAGAGATCACCCGGGCCGCATCATGAGAAGGACCGATATTGCGGTTCATCGCGTCATCGCTGTGGCTGCTTGTTCATGGCTGTTCCCAGCGATCATAACCTTCGAAGGAGACGATCGAGTGACAATCAGATCAAGCAATGGCTCCATGATGTGCGCCTGGCTGCCCAGCTACTAGTAGGAAAGTTGAGTGAGAAACAGTAGCTAGCACGATTGTTGTTCTCTAGAGAGAAGAGTCCAAGAGCAACTATAACTGTGACGTAATCATACTGTCTCTCAAAGTCCTGAATAGCTACATACTGCAGGTGTGCTTGGTTGAGGCTATAAAGCCTCTTTCCTCGGCATGGTGCTCGCTTTGGGAGTGAATCCTGCTTCATCGTTGCTACGTGTGTAGATCAACACGATACTCTATGCTTGATGCCCCGTTGGTTGGTTAACTCGCCTCCGGTTTTGACAAGGTTGGATGGTGCCGTGCATGTACTGGACTGGCACTTCCCTTGGAGCACGCAGCCTGCATGTGGATGACCCCTTGCCGTCCTTCAAGCCCTGCAGAGAAGCTGACCCACAGCCCATACCATAGTAACACATGGTCACAACCACCACTTACCGGTACATGCCAGAGCTTGCCCTACGATGGATGCTACCACAATTGTGAACTGCCACTTGCTAGTAGGATTACAACTACTAGGAAGAATGAAGGCATGATTTTTGTTTGTAAAGATTGTATTTTATGTGTTATTGTTTTATGTCTATGTTTGGTTGTATTCTATGTTTGGTTGTTGTATTTAAGATTGTAGAATAGTCTTCGTTCTGAAAGTCATCCAAAACGGAATGGAAGCGGGCGAAGGAAGACCACGGTGTATTCGCTTGTTGCATATGAATTGAAGGTCGTCTGTTTGGGATGGCTGCAAGATGTTGCATGCCATGGGTCGCCTCCAATGGACACTGTATACACTATTCTAAGACCACCCTCATTTCAGATTGTTGCTTGTACTGTCTGTACGGGTGATCGCTGCCCCACCATCACCTTCTTATTATTTGGACTGTTGCTTCTTTTCAAGAGCAGCATCGACCAAAGAGCTCAAATCGCTTGCTCGCGCTGTTTGGCGCTCTTGGTCCACTAGTCGAACGTCTCGTTCCATTTCGTAGTGGACTGGCTTTGCGACTTTGGTAGCTTTTGCCGTTGTATCTGCTTGCTCTTTTAGTTTTTGCAACTCCTTTTGACGACTCTTTGCTTTGTTAATTGCCGCACGAACCGCATTCTTGTCGAGCAGTACAAAACCCCCGAGTTCCTTTTTGCGTCGACCATCGCCCGTCAGTTGCTGCAAGACGTCTTGCATCCAAACCAGGTCTTGTTGAGAGCCAACTGCAACTTCCGAGAGGTCCAGATTGTGGACCAAAATGTCTTGCAGCTTGGCGCTACTCACTGTGGTTAAGAACCGTCGGGTTTGTTCCATGGTCTTGGGGAGACCCAGAAAGGCGCGATAATGCTTCGGCCAAGACAAGGAACGCAACAAGGGCCATTTCAAAATGGTGGCATTGGCCATCAAGAAGTCGTCCACTTGCTGGCGGACTTGTACTGGTAGATCATCTTTGGGAGCAGCGGAAACGGCTTCTAACAAACTAAAGAGGGCGCTTTTGGTGGCGTCTTTGGCGGTGGGAATGTCCGTCTCTCCGGCGTTGTTCTGCTCGTCGATTCTCGCAGCGAGATCCTTCTGCAAAGAGGCGATGCAATTTGCTGTTGGTGCTGCCGCCATTGTAGCTTGCTTGCTTGATTACTTCACTGTACTGTATCCACTGGACTGTGAGCAATAGGCATACGAAGAGCTCGCGTACCTGGTGCTATTAGGCTTTGCCGTGTGATTTACCGTAATATGACATACCGTATGCCATACGAAGGTTGTTGCCGAACTGGAAGACCCGGATTTTAAGATTGGAACTAGCTCAGTTGTGCGCCTGAGTGACTCGAAGGATGCTGCAATATTATTTAAGCTTTGCATCCAATTTTCTTAAGTTGCACCATGCACAAGCACCCTCGATTCATTGAAGTAGAAGGAGAAGAAGACTTCTACGCCAACAACACCGCCTTGAAAGATTTTCCAAGGGAAAAGTACGTGGCGAAGAAGGATGCTTGCTGTGTTGGTGCTTCGTGTGCGTGTGATCGAAACAAGAAGCTGCCGAATGTCATTGCTTGTCGCCCTCACATTTTCCTCCTCCTTTCAACAGAGTTTCAAAGCCATTCTACGAAGCAATTCAGCAAGTGAAAACCAAGCGCCTTTTCACCAGCAACAACATGAAAGGATTCAACACGTTCTTCGCACCTTGGGCAATCGGATTGCTGGCTGTGGTCGGCGCATCTGCTGCTTCGGCCGTCCTCAAAGAACCATCTCGTCGTCTCCGAGAATCGCCACACTTCTTGCGTCCTCGGCAGTTCGCCGCGACCGAAGCGTCAACGCCACGGGGCGAAGCGATCGAGAGTCGCCGCCTGTCCTCCACGAGCTGGATCCCAGTCGGAGGCCCCCGAAAAGGGAAGGAGAACGGAGAAAACTTTGGATACGATGTTGCCCTGTCGGCGACCGGGACGATCATGATTGCATCTGCGCCATTCGCCGATATCGGTGGAGCCAACATTGGGCACGTTCGAATCTACCAGTTCTTGAAGCCATCTGGCGTTTGGTCTCTGGCAGGCGAGATCCGAGGAGAGCGTCCTCTTGACGAGTCGGGAACTTCCGTCGACGTCTCTTCCGATGGTACGCGAATCGTCATTGGTGCTCCCAACAACGACGGCAATGGAGCGGAGAGTGGTCATGCACGAGTCTTCTTCTACAATTTGACGACCACTTCTTGGGACCAACTTGGTCAGGATTTGGATGGCGAGGCCAGTGGAGTGCGGGCTGGAACATCGGTTGCTATGAACTCGGACGGTACCATTGTGGCTGTCGCACAGCCCTATTCGTCGCTGGTGTTCCCAAATGGTACATCCATCCAAAACACCGGCTCGGTTGCCGTCTACAAGTACTCGACACGACACTCGAATTGGACGCAGCTTGGGCCCACCATTCGAGGAACTACACAGGATATGCTGTCTGGCTTCTCTTGTGATATCAACGCGGAAGGCAACGTGCTAGCTGTGGGCGGGCCACACTACGCTCACAGTGGAGTCACGGGTCTTGGACAAGTAAGTGTATACCGATACTCCCACATTGAAAACGACTGGCTGCTGATGGGCAGCCCCATCACCGGAGCACAAGATTGGGAAGAGCTGGGATATTCTCTAAAACTTGCTCTTGACGGCCGGATAGTAGCAATCGGACGCCCAACTCTCCATGCCTTTGGACCGAGAAGTGGAGCAGTACATGTTTATAGATATCAAGGAACCAGCAATACATGGAACCCGGTCGGTGATCTCATTGTGGGCGCGAGTCAAGACGATCTCTTTGGCGCGAGCTTGAGCCTCTCTGCCGATGGGACAAGGCTCGTCGCCAAAGGAAACAAAGGGACACGACAATTTTCATTCATAAACGGAACCTGGACTCAAGTTGGCGGTTTTATCGGGGCTGCCATGCCTGATCGAGTCGCTCTGTCTGCTGACGGGAAAACGATTGCCTCTGGCGACGTCAAGAGCGGGTCAGTTGGAAGCGTGAGCGTCTTCCAATATCCAGACCAGATCTACGACATCCACCTTATCAATGTCCACAGCTCCTTTAGTGATCAATTGGATCTTCCAGAAGTCGAACTTGACTACGCGGTCACAATTCTAGCGAACAACGGTGTCGGTTACTTCAACATGACCATCCTTGATCATGAAAGCTGCACCATCAAAGACACTTCGGGAGCCATCAAGCCTCGCCTCGATGCCAACGGCACAATCGGGACTTATGCCGTGTCTGATCTTACAGTGAAGATTGACGTGGACAAGAGACTCATAACGCAGACACCTTACTATACCGCGTCCGCAGATTTTATGTCAGGAGTGCTTAGATTCTGCGCCAAGATGGAGTACTTTGACCCTTCCAGCCAGGCTTTGGCCACGGCGAAGAATAAGATCAAACTGGTGCGTCAGGAAATCGTGTCGACCGCGCCCAGATGATGGCGTGATGCTGCTGACAAATCGTCTTTTTCCTGCAGGAACTGAACCAACTCGCGAAGTTTGAAATGGTCAACATGGATGGAAGCAGGCTACCTTCCGCCTTGGAAACGGTTCATTACGTCGACTTCGATTACGCCACGACAACTTACATCTGCGACAGGACGAATCGTCCAATCACCCCCGCACCTCGCCGCCCTGGTCAAAGCCTAAGGTTCTGTGTTCGAACTCCGGTCCACTCGGAAGTGGAAGTCAAAAGTGTACGCAATGTGTTCTTTTTGAATACAATGGTTCCTTTGCTGACCATCAAAGTGATTGACGAAGCGGGAAGAGCCATCGCCCCTCAGGTTAGCATTACTTGTTTGGAGGGGATTTGCAACATCAAGACAGTGACCTTTGGGGACCTCTACGAATACGACGTTGGCAACAACGGTACTCTTGTGGACGTTTCGAATGGCGTTTTTGTCGAGGGGCAGGCAGTGCTAAGCTTTGCGGAGAGCAGGCGACGCCGTCTCGCGACCGAAGGCGATTGGCATGACATGGAAACATTTCCCGGCGATGGGATTACCCTGGATGACTCCCTTATGAAGGCAGTGATTGCGGCGGAAGGAGAAGAAGCCACAACAGGCTTTCAATTGAAAGCCAACCTTGCAGCACCCAGATCTGCGTGTTCTGTTTCATCTTTGAGTTGCGTATTCATTACTGGAATCTGCAGCGCCGTGTTGATGATGATGAATTAGTTCTATTTGGGCGGTTGCGGATGTGCCCAAGGTGGAAACTTGCATGTGCCGTGCATTGTAGGCTCTTGGATGAAGAGGAACTAGTGAGCTGTCGTAAACTGATCGATATATTTGTCTTTACAACTGCTACTGCATTTCGTTGTACCTAATATAGGCGTCAAGGGGGAGGCTGAGCGACACAAGGACCCGTGGCGCCTGGTCTTGTTGAAGGAGCGACGGCCGGCCTCCAACATACCGTCCAGTACCGGTACCAATGGTATCGGTACCGGTACCGGCATCGGTATCAAAGGAACAAACCGGCCGGTGTTCAAACGAAGATTACTTGTACAAGTACGATGTAGTGCTCACTATTAGACTGCAGGACGTCATGCACAAAACTCCTGTGTTGTGTCCTGCTTTGCAACCAGTTGGCAGCAGTTTTTGCCTTTGCCGGAGATGGCCAGGAGCCGATCTAGTTAACTCAGCCACCAGTCGTACCGTATGCACGGAAAGGCCTTGCGTCCAAGCTTGACAAAACAAATTGAGCTCCGAGCTTGAAAGGGCTGGCTGGAAGCGCTGGCGGGTGCCTGTTGTGAAGCCAAACAGCATTGCTTGTGGACTCGGTAGCCATGCACAGTAGACTACATGTACATGTACTGGTGGCTCCAATTCTTCCTGCATCGCGACTGACTGCGACTGCACCATTTTGTAGGTCCCACGGTGCGCACCAGGTAGGTTGTCTCGCATGCATGTTCGGGACTGTGATGCAAGGTATGGGGGACTTAAAACGTGACGGCTCTGCCACGCACAATGACGCCTGCCTGCGTGCTGCAGGCCACGACGTGGGTCCTATTTTTTTGGAGGCTTGGCGGGGAGGAAGAAAACCAATGCACGCCAGTGACATTTTCTCCGCTTGTTGTCGTTGTCATTGACCTATTTTTCTCCCCGAGGGTAGAAGAATCGAATCGAATCGAATCTTTAACCATGGCTGCCTCCGCAGATGCTTGTACCGGCTATGATAGTCTGGGCAATCCCTACCAAGAGTTTTCTTGTACCTATCCTTTCTTGGCCCCCTTCTACTTTGAGTGAGTGTCAAGGATAAATGAGCAGGGTTCTTTTTCAGCGACTTCATTATTGCTCACTGTTTGCCTTTTTGGTATCTTTTTTCAGATTTGAGAAATACAGGGATCCACTCCCAGCTCTCCACTGGATGCAAGATCGCCCTTTTATCCCAATTGTTGCCGTCATCCTCTATGGTATCGGAATCTATTATGGTCCCAAGTTGATGGAGGTAAGCAGTTTTGTACCCCCCAGGATTTATACTTCCTTTTTGGGGGAGGAAGTTCAAGGCGGTCTCGTGGTTATCCATTCACAAGCTCACTCTCTTTGAATCCATCCTTATTTTAAATACACAGAACCGAGAATCCTGGAACTGCAAGAAGACTCTGGCTGCTTGGAATCTTTTCTTGTCTGTTTTCTCCTTTATGGGAGCGGCTCGCACTGTTCCTCATGTACTGCACGATATGATGAATCGATCGGTTCGCGACTGTATGTGTGCCGATGCTCGTATGGGAATGGGAAGTGGATCTACCGGACTCTGGCTGTTTCTGTTCGCCTGGAGTAAATTCCCGTGAGTTCAATAATTGCAACAAGAGACCCAGACAACAACAACAAAATGAAGGCAAAACTAACACACTGTCCTCTACCCATTAAAATTTTCCGCACAGAGAATTAATCGACACCTTCTTTCTCATTGTCCACAAGAAAAACGTTTTGTTTTTGCACTGGTACCATCACATTACCGTCCTCCTTTACACCTGGTATGGATTCACGAACGCTTCCCCCATTGGTTGTCACATGACGGCTATGAACTTTACCGTACACGCTGTAAGGAAACCCAATCTGGATTGGTTTGCTTATTTATTCATGACTATGACATGTGATTCCTCACAATGCTATTTCACCCTGTTCCCCATGTGTTCTTCGACGCAAATTTACTCGTCAATCAATCCACCAAACAACCATCCATTCAGGTTATGTACTTTTACTACTTTCTTATGGCTATCAAAATGAAGCCCAAGTGGTTCAACCCCATGTGGATCACCTTTATGCAAATATCGCAGATGATTGGAGGATGCATCGTCACCGTGTTGGGATACCAGTACTGGAAGATCGACCCCGACTGCACACTCAACGATGGGGTGGTGCTTTCAGGATTCCTCATGTACGGAAGCTACTTGTACCTGTTCTGCCAGTTCTTCGTAGGGAGGTTCATTACGCCAAGATTTTCTGCCAGTGTCAAGAAGCAAAAGACCGTATAATTTGTCTCCATTATTTGAGGGTTTGGCATCTACCGCAAATTAATGTGGAGAAGAATGATTACCAGTAATTGTCTGTTTGTCACGCAAAAGAACGTGGATGTAATGCTATAGGAACACAAAAAGAATTTGATACTGTGCTTGGATTAGTCGTTACACAGCTCTAGGTCAAGGCGATGTCGAGTCTGTCTGTTCTCTCAGACAGCACTGACAGAATGTGCCCCATCTATCGCATTGCCACTAAGGTCGTCCTTTGAGAGTGACTCCTGTAGTGTCCAAGTCTACAACATTGGGAAAAGTAATGCCCACTCCAACATACAAATCACAGATGGCAAAATCATAACATCTGGGAGAGAACAGACTGAATCATCAGCATTAAATCTGCATAATCCAAAAATATTGGTGCTGGAATTATCAAACACAACATCAAAGTCAGTCACTACGGCGACTGAAGGATCACTGGCATTTCCGGTACCTGTACGCCTCTTCCCTGTCAGCACGCTCTTCCAGTTCCGTGCAATCGGATGGTTGTGGCGTTGGGTACGTGTAGGCTGCTCTAGCTACAGTACCGTGCCGTACCGGTATGGTAGCTAGCTATCGGCACCAGTAGCCATGAAGCCATGGTTCGAGGTTGCCTTGGCGAATCTCAATCCGGTGTCCGAAAGTTCGCAGCTTTGCTGCTTTCGACATGCTTCCATGGCCTTCTGTGAACGATGGAGAGATGGATTTTGCCAACTTCATCACGGCTCGTCGTCTCGCTCACAAATGATCTTCAGGTTGCTATACTGTAGAAAAGCGGCCACCTGACACTTCTGTAGCTACGGATCGCTCTCTTGTGTTGCAAACCGCTCTATTCTATTCTATTCTATTGCATTGTCTGTGTCAAGATGGACGTCGAATGTATGGTAACCATTGTGGTAGCCGAATCTGGCAGGTCTGAGACTCTCCCCGTGTCATTGGGAACCACTGTCAAGGAATTGTCGGATTTTTCGGGTGCCATGTTGGGATTATCTGGTAGTGTCCAACTCTACAAGGATGGATCCCGTTTGGACCCAAATATGAAGTTGGAACAAGCAGGAGTCAAGAATGGAGACTTGTTGGCCGCTCAAATTGCCGCTGCTGCACCACCACCACCAGCTGCTCCAGCCCAGGCTGCTGGTGGATTGGACTTTTCCAGCATTTTGGCCAATGCCACGGCGGCGGCGGCGTCTGCACCCGTGGCAGCGGCACCTGCAAGTGGAGGCCTGGATTTTTCCAATCTCATCATGGGTCAACAACTCAACAAAACCAACTCAGAGCCCGTGTATTATCCCGGCATGACACTCAATGATGCCCTCGACCACAACACCAATCCCGAACATATTGTCACTCTCCTACAAACCCGAGAGCACTTATTCAAAGAACTCAATTATCATCAACCTGTGTTGGCCAACAAACTACGAAATCAAACCTATGAAAAGGCCGTCCAAATTTGGCGGGAAGAGATTCTAAAAGGAGGTATTCAATCCGCCATGTCACGCAACAATACGCAACTCAAGGAACAGGATTATCGACAGCGCTTGGAAAAGAATCCCAATGACAAAGAAGTAAGTTTTCCTTCCAGGCAGGAAAAAGAGAGGCTGAAAAATGCTGCAGTCGTTCTTGACATTCTCTCTTATTGTATTAATTATTGCTCTTTCTTTTTCCATCAGGCCAAGGAATACTTTGACTCTCAAAAGCGAGAGCAACAGGTTCGAGAACAATACTTCCAAATGATGCAGGAGTATCCAGAATCATTAGGTAAGGCATTTTTGCCGCACGGTACTGATCCGCCAACTTATTGAATTGTGTACATTGACGACAAAGTTCCACTTTGTAATAGGACGAGTGCTCATGCTCTACATTGAGGCCAAAATGAATGGTCATTCTGTGCAAGCCTTTGTGGATAGCGGTGCACAAAACACAATCATGAGCAAAAAGACAGCCACAATGTGTGGGATCATGGATCTCTTGGATACTCGGTTCCGGGGAGTCGCCGTTGGTGTGGGGACAGGAACCATCTTGGGACGGGTTCACATTGTGCAGCTACAATTGGGAGACTATTTCTTTCCCTGTACCATCACCATCATGGATGATCCGCCACCAGGTAGCGAAGCCAAAGACATGCCATTCTTGTTGGGATTGGACATGCTCAAACGACACACCTGTTCCATTGATTTGGAGAACCAAGTTTTGAAGTTTCGACTTGCGCCTGGAAAGTATCTGGAGACGCCCTTTCTACATGAGAAGGATCTTGAGGAGAGTCAAGGAGGGACGAAAGGATTTAATGCCGAGAAGGCCAACCTAGAGTTGGCTGAGTTGCAGCGAAAACACGAGGAGGAAGATAAGGATGGTGATAGCAAGATGGAGTGAGCCCAAGTTGATCAGCTTTGATGCAGACCTCAGAAGAAGATCTGTTCTGGTCCCCAAACACGGAGGTCATGTCTTGACAGATGTTGTTGATAAGGTTGGCTAGAACAGCCATGTCCGATTCTTGTAGGCTGGCCCATCCAAGGCATTGTCAAAGGGGCGACGTGTCAGCCGCCCTTCCCGTCGCTCAGATGTGGATGATTTGGAAGACTACCTAGCAAGAACCACCACTTGACCATGGTTGTATTAGTCTATTCAACCCTAATTACTCTAGCTAAATAATGAGCCACAATCCCAATCACTCAGACTGCTTGCCACAATCCCAATTCAGACCGTTACGTAGTCATCATCCTCTTGAGAATCCCTGTGAGACACAGCGGGGGAATCCATAGAGACGCTGACTGGAACGGATTTGGATGGTACTGGAGAGGGCTGCAACAGCTTCTGCAGCCCTGCCTTCTCGTTTGCCGATGGAGTCATTACCGCACAGGTGTTGTCATTTGTGGATTTGGGCGGACTGGCAACCACCGCTTCGCCGCTCTTTCCTGGTGTTGGTGGTGCTTCTTTTGCCGGCGTGACCGTCTGCTCCAGAGGGGGCATTGGGGGCATCGCGCTATCGCTAGTTTCTGGTTCTTGCTTGACTTTCGTCTCCAACGGTGGCAAGGGAATATCTTTGGAATGCCTCCCACGGTTAGGGAATGCTTTGAGCTCTGTGGGACGCTTCTCGGCCTCATTCGGGGCCGCAGGCAGCACTTTTCCGGTTTCTTCGTGGCCAAGACTCTTGGCCGTCATGGCGACTACCGAAACAGCGACACGCTCCTCCAGCGGTGGCGGTTTCGCAATGGCACCCGCCGCCTTGGCAATATCACCCGCAAAGGAGGACCCCCAATCTTTGTGGGTGATGACAGTGTTGGTGGCCGGGTCCACCGTCGTCGAGGTTGTTGTCGCTGCTACTGCTGCCGTTGTTCCCGTCGGAGTCGGAATCGTCGTGGTCGTCGTCGCAGGCACGGTGGCGTCCGTCTCGGGAACCGCGACATCATCCGCAGCATGGGTATGTACATTCTGTTCGATCATGTCCAAATGGGAACAGAGATGGCGGGCGTTGGCCTTTTTGGTGGGATTCTTGATCATGGTTCGTAGCCTCTTTTTGGCATTTTGAATGTGTGTTTTGTAGTAGCATCGAATGCGATCGCGCAAAATCTTGTCGGTAAAACAAGACGCGTACTCCCACTTCAGACGATCGGACTCGTTACGAACCAGTAACACGAGCGTGTTGTTGAACGACTGCTGTTGTGCCGATTGACATTTGGTAATGGACAATTCATAATATTCCGCCATGTTGTCCTTCAACACTGCATATTGCACAAGCAAAAGCAAAATAAGAACTGAGGTGAGGTTCTGCAAATCAAATTCAGTTGGTTCCACCTGTGCACCGCAGACAGAAACAATCCATTAGAACGCACCCTTTTCCAGTGGAGGATAATGTGCCCAAAAGAATCCTTCTGGCAAGACATGTCCTGGACCTGGCAATGTCTCTGGAGCCGACCTAGGATTCTCTCGTGTCAGCGCCATGGAGAGCAAGAGTCGCTTGGCCAGTTCCGGGTCATTGATGGTCCTCTGTGCCAAATCAGCAGCTCGGTTGGCCTGTTCTTGCAGTTTGGCTTGTTCGTCTTCGTCTTTGCGTTTGCGCTTTCGAGGAGGCACTTCCGCCGCCGGAGTGGTCTTTTTGATGTTGCTACTGTTTCCCGAGTTCCTCTTCAACGGTAACGTTGGCTTTCTGGTGGGCCTTTTACTGGGAGCACGTGTTTTGATGGCAGTGGTGGTTGTCGTCGTCTCGACCGAGTCTTGACTGTTTGTGGTTTCCAAATTATTTGTAGTAGTAGTACTGTTGTCTACAATCACAGGAGCGTTCTTTGCTTGTTCTTCTTCTTTTTCCTTTTTAATTTTGGCTCGTTTCTCCTGTTGCTCCTGTTCTTCTTCCTGACTTTGAAACATGGAAACCGCATCCAAAAGTGTCCCAAATCCACCCTGCGAAGCGGGCCGATCTCCTTGCGACAGCAGTCCGTACTGTTGCACCAATTGCTGCGAGTCAAAATTCTCGGACGAATTCACGCTCACTTGCGACAAATTGCCGATCGTGTCCTGTGATAATCCACCACCTTGATACTGCATTTCCTGCGAGAGCAACGATTGGGATCCAAAGTAATTCTGACCCGACCCTTGCTCCAAGCGGCGGATCTGCTCGTCTTCATAGTCGCTGTCTTCTCCACCACCTTTGCAGCAAACCCCCTGCTGTTGTTGTTTCAAGGGAGAAGAGACGACGTCCATGATGATTTAGGTGCTAATTGGTGTGTACTGGTGTTAACTAATCGTACTTCTTCTTCCTCTTGACTCCTTGGATTGGATTGGATCGTATCGTGGCTACAGTACTAGTACTGGGAAGTGCTTACTGTGTCCGCAACCGCAAGACTTATAAGAGACAGAGAGACCAGAGTACGCAAGTCCAAGGGAGAGAACAAGAGGGGGGGGGGGCACGAGAGAGGGACGGCAATGATGACACCACCTCCAAGGACGGCTTCTTGCTTGAGTGACTAATAACTTGCTGCCGAAACTGGATGCAAGTTTGTGGTTTTCAGAAGAAGAGGGCGAAGAGAAAAGCTGGTCCGGAGAACGATTGATTGAATTCGATTCGATTCGAATCGCGGACGAACCCAGGAACGGGAGCGCTCGATTGACGCTTGAGAGCTACCACTGCCACAGGAGATGCCCTGCGCTTCCATGGATCCAGGCCAATGACCAGTTTGTTGATGGATAAGGTTAGGTTGAATGAAAGTACGGGAGCGCAAAACCTTGCCTCATCCATCACACGTCGACAGTACCACCGTAGCTTGCTTTGGCAGATACTACATCGTACCAGTACGCTGTACGGGGAGTATTTGGAGGTCGATAGCCTTGCCCCATTTGGTTAGCTAGCACTGCCAAAATGGGCCAGTCATGTCAGGAGAATAGTGTCAAACATAAGTACCGGTAGAAGCAAAATTGATCCTTCCTTCCCATCATTTCAGTCAGACGCACCCTACGACTATACCCATTCCATCCACCCAGATTATCTTTCGGGTGTATCTGTGCGTCTCTCACCTCAATCCTGGTAGACCTGGAACTTTCGTGGCACTTGGTGAGCTCTGTACCAGTAGGTGCACATGACCATACCGTACCGGTATAAAGAAGCGATGAGGGGACTCCCACCGCCACCACCACCGCCACCACTGGATTTCCTGGGCAAACCCGTCTTTACAGGAGGAACTGGGTTGGTTTTGGGATGCTGATGCCCTCTTCCAGACAAACCGCTTTCCCCATCACCCAGTGCAGAGTACGGTACCATGCCTGGCTAGTACGAAGAAGGAAGCACATTATTTTCTTGGTGAATCTACATGTATTGTTGACGTACCAGGTACCGTCGCTGTAGAGGAGGAGGCCTGTGAACATTGGGAGACCTGAAGGGTCAGTGCGTTTTAATACGGTACTTGGGAACTCCAAACTGAGGGTTTTACTCATTCAGATTGAAGGCCGTATCTTTATGTACCGGTATCTTTCCTCAGGCTCCCCTTGGCTACTAGAAAGCTCAAGCAAATCTGCACATCGAACAACAAAGCCTCGAGGTTGCAGCATCGCAGCATCGCAGCTGGCCAGTTGACAGAAGGAGTAACAAACGTAATCAATTGAAGCAAGCAAGTTTATACCACTATCTAGTTGTCGCCACAAGATTGTCCAAGCTTGCTGCTGCAGACCGGAAGATTGGACTCTACCAGTACTGTTCCAATACTACTAATGAAAATGGCACGAGCAGGAATGTTGCAGCAACTTCTTCGGGGAAGACGCCAATGGTTGCTCGCGCCCAAAGTACCGATGCAACCACTGTCATCATCGTCGTCGTCGAAAGGAATAGCCCCTCAATTGAACATCAACCTGGCTTTGATCAAGAAAGAAGAGATGGGATACTTCAATGATATAGTGAAGCATCCTGTCACCACACTCCAAGGAATTGGCCCCAAGCATTCAGAACAATTGGCAAATTTGGGTATTAAATCTATTCAACAACTCGCTGACTACAAGTTCTATCTCTTGGCCAAGTCCATCAAGACTTTGTCACAAGTTGAAGAAGAGAACAACCGGTTGGAAGGGGCGGTTATGAACTTGGACAAGGGAGTCGATAAGCAATTTGAGCACTATTGCCTTGCCGAACTCGTTCGTCAACCGGTTCACGCCCTCCAGGGAATTTCTCCTACAGGAGCCGAAACATTTCAGACCTTGGGTGTCAAAACTATTGAAGACTTGGCTGAATTCAAGTATTGCAAATGGGCTGAAGCCATTGTGGTTGCTGCCAAGTTTGAAGACATGAAAAAAGAATCGTAGCTCGGTCCTTCGATGGTTAGCTTGCTAGTTGAGAAGTTATCAATCTACATGTAATGGTCGGGCCGGGCTCGTGCACTGTCTCATATTGAGAGCTCCTAGGACAAACGTTGCAGATAGAGTCATGCGATGGCTGGATTGTGCGTTGGTGAGGATTCTCTGCTCGTTGGAGTGGTTTGGAGTCAGAAGAGAACATTTGTCTTCCAGCTAAAGACAAACTATGCTTGCGGGAAAGACTGATGAATCCAAATGTGCAGGAAAAGTGTATACAAGTCCCATTGGTAGTACTGTACCAGTTTTGCATATAAGTATAGATATCAAAGCAATAGCTGCAATCCACGGATATGATGATTGGTCTTCGAAAGTCACGAAATGGAAGTCCCAAGACGAGGCACCACGACACCCCTTTCTGCGTCAACGACACCCCCGAGAAGAATCCCAGTGGTACTAGTATCCTTCCGAGTCGATCGTTGCACCGCGTCGTCAAAACAAGCGACGAATGATTGAATCCCAATGCAATACCTCGTCAACAAGGCCTTTGGTGAAAGGCTGTCATGTATAGTACATATCTGTTCTGCCCGATACACGACTTCCTCGGAAGGTTGTGAGGAATCCCGCAGCCTGAGTGCCCGACCTGGAGCAAGCGCCTGAAGGTTGCCCAAGACAGCACCGATGCTGAAGTGTATGGTACCAACAGCTTGTGCCCCCTTGCGGCTTTGTAAAGCTTGATTCCAAGCATTTGCTGGACGTTCTCGTGATCCTCCATTATCATAAGTTGTCATTCGATCTCCATTGCCATCTTCGAATTGATTGTTGACAGCGCGGGAACACACGCAGTATACTGGCAAGGCGACATGAGTCGAGTCTGGAAAGAGGATCCACACAATTACAGTAGTCGCTTCATCTTCGCTTGTATGGAGCTCCTGAGCAACACGGATGCGGCGAAGATGGCGTGGGAGTCGTACAAAGGCTCCCAGTCATAGATCTTCCTTCGTCCGCTTGCCATCCCATGTGAAGAGACAAAGGTCGATGTCGATCCGCAGGTTCCATCCTACGTGCGCGCATGGGGACCGCGTTGGTCCTTTCTCGTTGTCCCAAACTGGAGGTGAATGCCCATAAAGTCGATCCCCCAGTGGGAGTTCCATAATTGACGCAAGATGTGAGCGTTTGCGCAATGGACATGAAACGTGGTCGACGGCTGAAGCCAACCTTGGGAGGAGCCTCTCTGACCTTCTGCTTCAGTGGTCTCAGCTGCAACCTGCTTGGGAGGAGCCTCTCTGACCTTCTGCTTCAGTTGTCTTAATTGCAAATTTGCAACTCGAACAATTTGTCAAACAGAGCACGTCCGAACTCTTGACTAGGATCAATCACCGTCTCTGATCCTTTGTCTTTACCCAGGCCGGCTATTCACTTCCTCCCCCCTTCTTCACTGTGATTTCCAACTTTTCACTGTGATTGCCACCGAAGGCAGCTTGGGCTCGGGAGATGCCAAAAAGACATGTGTTTTTATGCTAATGCTCATGCTTGAAACCTTGGGTTGCTCGATCTCTCCACCAAACACCGACCTCCAATGCCCACAAAACAACTTCAATCTGCAACAAAGCCCTATTTCCACATGCAAAACAAACACACGTTAGGTCACTTGCATACAGTTTAGTATGCGTAGCTATTCAGTGGATGTTCTAGTGCTCGCAATGCTTATTGAACTTCTACCTTCCGCTACAATGTCTTGATTGGCAGTGTGCAAACTCCCAACGAGTGTTGCTTGCGCCCTGGCGGCCTCTGCTGGGAATACTCCAGCATCGCGGCTATGTCAGTGACGACGGCACACGTCGCGATATCTGCATTAGTGGGATCTATTCATTGTACGTAGTAAAAAACTCAACTGAAAGCTCGACCTGACACTTGTCCCTCGTTCGGGCAGCGACTTGTGCTCTCATCATCTGTTCTATCATTGATTGTAAAGTACACGTATGTATTCCTTCAGCCAAAAGGGGCTCGTCTCCTACTACAGCCAAACATCGGGGTGCAGAATGGTATCATGATGTAACAAGTCCCAATCACTATGATGAATTTTGTATAGAAATAGATAGTTTTCAAGTAGCTGCTTCGCTCCCCCCATCGGTCCTCCCGCCCAGAAGGAAAACAGACAAGACACCTTTAGAAATTGGAGTTCTCGGTGATTGCACTAATGTCGTCTTTCATGGGTGTCACGGGTGTCATTGGTGTTGTGGTGGCGTGAAAGTAGTTATGTGAGCCTCCTTTGTCATTGCTTCCCGCCCGAGCACGGTTGTACGACGTTTGCGGCTTTGGCGTTGGTCTTGAGGATGGCTCCCGAGCCAAAGCCGTTTCCATATTAGTTCGCCCTGACTCAATCAGTTGCTTTATCTCAGAACCTCTTCGAGATCTTGTGGGTCGCTCGTCCTGCTCTTGTCGTAGCAAATTCTGTATCAGCTGTTCCCGGCGTGAGTGAGCTTTGTCCAGTTCCTGTTGCTGCTGCGTCACCATCAGCTGAAGAGCCTCTTGATCCTGCAAAAGCTGTTTCATTTGCAAAGCCAGATCATCAGCATATGACTTTGTGTCAGCAGCAAGAAGGTTTGCAGCATCTCGCTCTGCCTTGGCAGTGGTCAAAGCGGCGCCAAGGCCGCTGATTTCTGCTTCCAAATCCGAGATAACACCAGCATCATTACCGGCATGAGAGTTGATCATTTCTCTCATAGCTTCCATCTCTTCGACGTGGCAATTGACCAGTTTTCGTTTGTCTTCGTCGCTCGATATTTTTACTTGATTGACGGCGGCTTTGTGTTGATCTTGAAGCATCTTGATGCGCTCTTCGTACATGCCCTTGAGCGTCCGGGTTTTCTTTTCATATTCAGTCACCACCTCGTTCACTCTTGCGGCTGCTTCGTGCTCGTGCCGTTTGATGTTGTGGCTGTCCGCAGATGCCGACATTGTAAGCGCCCTGGATCCAGAAACATTAGCATCAGCATAGAGACGCAATAGTTTGGCGGAGAACTTGGATCCCCGTCCATGTTCCAATGGAATTCTATCTCTCTTATCTTTCATCAAGACTCCCTTGGGGTATTGTGTCAAGAGCAGTTCGAGAAGATCCTCATTATCTTCCTTGTACCGAAACGCTAGGTGCAACGGTAGCATACCTTGATCATCTCGTCGTGACACAGCCGCTGGATATTGATCTATCAAAGCAGTTACCACATATGTAGGACTTTGAAAGATAACTGCGGCATGCAATGGAAGAAGTTTCCATCGAATCTTTTGAGAGATTGTGTCTCGTCGAACGATCCATGTCCGTACCTCGTGAGGGTGTGATCCACATCGACTACGAGCCTTTTCCCAGTTGGAAGACTCCAACAGCTCATAGAGAGTTGTTACGTTCGTGTCATAGTTGCATATCGCTTCTCCCTCGGTAGAATCGTGAATTTTCAAAGGCGACGGTTGCTCTCTCCCTCGTATGTTGCTTCTTTCCCTTGACCTTGGTCTTCGCGGAGATCCCATCGGGCTCTCATCTCTGCTTCGAGCTCTAGAGGTGGGTCTGTGGTTGTGATTGTGGTTGCTCGATGGAAACTTAATCGACGATGGGGTGTTTCGACCTGGTGTCATACTGCTTCCTCGTCCACCAGGAGAATTGTATACCATCTTGGTGATGGCAATGCACTACAGCTATAAAGATGAGTGTGAAGCCAACTATAAACGACTCCCTACTCCGGTTCCTATCAATGTGGCGCAGCCTGAAACGCGTTTCGCCATGGAGTGTCCCAATAGCCAGGGTGTCTCCTTTAAAAAGAGGTGCAAAGTAGGTAAGCAAAGCGAGAAGGGCCCGAACCTAGGCCCTTGGCGGCGTCCTCGCCCAGACAACAAATGCTCACTAAATGTTGCCGTCCATCGCTAATGGCTGTGAAACATGGGAGCATCCGTGTGGTTCAATGGCTCGGTCTGCGACCTCACTCGCCGGCGTAGGTCTTCTTATCCTTCAGTGCTCGCTCATTTAGCTAAACAAAAGTCTAAGTACCATGGCTTGACTTGCTTTCAAAAAGGCTTTCTTCATCTTTTCAAATTCTGCTGCAATAATCTTGTCCTCAGCCAAGCTTGTGATGTGTGATGACATGAACGTATACCTGGTACCAGCTAGCTAGTACCTAGCGGTATGCCTTCAAGGTAGCATTATGTACGGTACTGTAGCAGTTCAAGTATAGGTGACATCGACAGATTGGGTTAACACTTCAGTGCTGCGGAAGTTTGTTAAAGTATCCAACCCGTACCAAAAAAGTGATGGATTGGGATTGCGGATTTAGTTAGAAGGTGCTACACTTTTCCAGGCCACAATTTTAAGCGGAGTGTCTATGTGCTGCAGCTTGCAGGTACAGCTAACCCGAGAGCAAATCTCCAGTACCGGTACGGTACAGAACAAGCAAGAGGGCTACCTGTATCAGTCATACCGGTACAATCAAAAGATCACCACACAAGAATATTTATTTTCATCATTTCTAAAAGGGATTGTTGCTTTAAAACTGCACTACCCCGGTTACACGCTAAGGGCCAGCCACAGCAGTAAAGTTTGCATTGACTCGACTCCACGCCCAATAAAGCAAGGTGTCATCGATTTTGCTGTTGATCATGGTAACATCCAACCAACCAAACCCCGGCTCCTACTCTCACAATGTCATATTGATACAACCACCCAACGTGATTACCACCGCTTCCTCCTATTTTTCATCCTGTCTCCTTTTGTCGCGTTGCTCCGTTTCGCTGTATGTGATTTGTCGTGTATGGTGGTGTTACTGACCCGTTCGAGGTCCACCAGGCTGTGATCCATGCGCCGATTGATTGGGTTGACTCCTATTGGGAGCCTGTCCTCCGAAGCCCCTGGATCCGCTTCGTTGACTGGGATCCCTGTGGGAACCTTCTGGTGCTGGTTTGCGTGCGTGCGAGCCGTCCCCATCGGCGGCCGGAGGTACCTCCTGATGATGCGAATCTCGTCGTACCGCATCTTGATTCTCGGACGACCTTTGAGCTTGTGCGTCCGGCTGGGCAGCAGCAGCGGGTGTCTGTTGGGGGGGAAGTCGAGATCGTTCCTGTTGCAAGTTGAGGACGGTCCAATCAAACATGTTGTCGTACTGAAATCCCTTTCGGTAGAAGAGTTCCTTGAAGAGTCTCTTGAGGTAGGCATAATCGGGTCTATCCTCGAATCGAAGAGATCGGCAGTATTCAAAGTAGGATCGGAATTCCGTGGCATATCCCTTGCAAAGTTGTTCGGTGGAAGTGGACATTTTCCGGTCCATGATTCTCTCGTATTTCTGCTTCTTAGTGTTGGCCTTGAGTCCCTGCCAGGGCAGTGAGCCACGAATAAAGTACATGAGGACATATCCCAGTGACTCTAGATCATCTCGTCGACTCTGTTCAATTCCAATGTGAGTATTGATGGAAGCATATCGAGCGGTTCCGGTGAGGTTCTTATTCTCACGGTAGGGAATGTGCTGATGCGATCGAGGATCACGGTATTTCTTGGCCAATCCAAAATCAATAATGTGAATGACAGATTGCCGCTTTCCAAGGCCGATCAAGAAGTTCTACATAGAGCACAACAACGTGAGGTATTTACTCTACAGGGCACCCATCATCACGACGACAGTGTCAACAGCACGGCACTCACATCGGGCTTGACATCTCTGTGGATGAATGACTTGGTATGGACGTATTCCAGTCGACTCAAGAGTTGATCTGCTAACATCAGGACCGTCTTGAGCTGGAATCTGCGACCACAGTAGTTAAACAGATCCTCCAACGAAGGGCCCAGTAGATCCAACACCATCACATTGTAGTCGCCTTCAATGCCGTACCATCGCACATTCGGAATCCCCACTGCCACAAACCAAAACAAAGAACGAGAAAAAATAACAATCCTGAGATTACTGATTTTCTGTTGCAATCAACTCAAGCAAGTTTTTGATCTAATCAATGGTCAAAGCAAAATTATTACGTATTCAACTTACATCCACCGTGAAGAATCCGATAAATCTTGCTCTCATAGAGAAGCTGTGGATGCTTCGTCTTGACCGATTCCAGCTTGATGGCCACTTCCTCTCCGGTGGTCATGTTGGTGCCCAAGTAGATATCACCAAACGATCCACTGCCAATCTTCCGGCCCAGCCGGTACTTCTTGCCTACTCGAAGCTCCATCGTCCCGCCCTCCAATCCTACCGTTCCGTAATTAATGTATGTCACGACACTGACACCCCAGCGTCGATCAGGCAACAACTGGAGAAGGTACCGGTACTAGCTAGTAGTGGCTTCTGAAGAAGGTTGCTTCGGTCTTTTGGGTTTGATGCCTACGCCGCACCCGGAGGTCGCTGCACGCAAGCCTTACGGGACTCACTCCCGGTGAGCCTTAAATGAACATCCCACGGAAATCCCGCCCACGGAACCGTTGTTTGCCATTCCCTCTTGCTTGGAACTTGCGAACTAACCCAATGGTAGGGGACATCAACTGCACAACTTGCTGATCTGTACTTTACAAGCAAACCTTGGTCGTACCAATTCCCAAATGGCATGACGAAGAGTCGCTTGCTATCTACCGGTAGCTAGCTCCAGCTTGTGGCAAGCTCTAGTCACGGGAACTGCTATACTTACTTGATTGATCTGAAGGATGGGCCAAATCACATCCCTTCAGATCACACCATGCTAAGATGTCCGGATTTTTGGGCACACAGGTAAATGACCCTATCCCTAACCGATATGGTTGAGAAATCCTGACTTTTCCGCCAAACAAGCTAGATTTGACTGGGCGGGGAATCAAATCCGGACTTTTCCTGCAGAGTAGCATGCTACAAGACTATTGATACTTCAAAGTTTTGTGAAACGATTTCATTCTAATATTATTTTAAAATATGTATTGGTGGTCAAGTGGTCAACAAACCACTCGTGTCGTGTTGTTTTGTGTTGTATTGTGGCTAAAACATGAAACTGGCTGTGGGTCATTGACAGTCAGGTTCTTCAGAAAAGGCTCAAGTCATCTTTCTCCTTGAATGTGGGGGATTTCACCCCAGAGCAATTCAAAACCTGACAATGGCTCCATGAATGCTCAGTTGTATCTGGCAGCCAAGGTTGGGGCGTATGCAGCCATGGCAGCCTTGTTGTTGTATTCAGTGCCAGCCCACTGTGAGTATGCCAAAACAGAAGTGCATGGTGTACACCCACATTTATCAGGGTAAGTCATGATGGTCCTCTGACAGGAAGACGTCCAGATGTACCCACATGTGCTTGTTGCTGTGCAACTAGAACCCGTAATTTTGTCATGTTTTGCGCCCAGCAAGTGTCCAAATTCATGTGCCCAGAGGTAATGACCAGCCAAATCAACATTGTTCCTTTGCACTTCAAAATAACCAGGCCTGTCCCAGGTGATATCCGTGCCAATGTTGCTTGCATATCCTCCCTTTACGTGCTCTCCAATTACCACAAATGCATCAATTTTATAAGTATTTTGGAGGCCAAAAATACCATCAAAGTATCCATCTCCAGATCTCTGGAGATAGTATGCATATTCACCCTGTGAACGCGCTGCAGCATCAGGGAAGTTCGTTTGGTCAAGCCATGTACTAACACTTTCCAGGACAATGTTAAGCTGCGTGTTGGCTAATGCTGTATTTGTTTGATAGATGGCATTGTTGACAATTTGAACAACTCTGCTCCAACTCTGGCCCATAGCTACCCAGGTGGCTGTGGTGATGATATGACCAACTCTGAAAACAAAATTAGTTAGGATTGTTGTGATAGCAAAACTTTACAGTGGAACTGGTGGGCTTACCTGATGGTGTATGTCGTCTGAAGCTCACGAGGGCCCCGCAAACTGCGCTGTTCTATTGCGGCTTTGACCACTGCCTGGAGATTGCGGCGAAGTCCATCATCAGGATTCTTTTCATTTGGACCATTGCCATTTCCATTGCCATTTCCACAATTGACCTGTGCTTCGCGACAAGATGTTGGGGTAGCAGTTGGACTTCCACTGGGTGACCCACTGGGAGAACCACTTGGGCTGGCACTTGGTGTGGTACTGGGAGAAGAACTGGGGGATGTGCTGGGAGAGGAGCTTGGAGAAGTACTGGGTGAACTGCTGGGAGAAGAGCTGGGGGATGTGCTGGGAGAGCTGCTGGGAGAAGTGCTGGGGGATGCACTGGGAGAAGAGCTGGGGGATGCACTGGGAGAGATGCTGGGAGAAGTGCTTGGTGACTCAGACACTAAATAGAAATCAACTCCTGTGAGGTCCACTGGAGGTGGCAGGGGGACATCAGCCAAATTGGCAGCAATGTACTTCACAGCAGTTGTCCCATCTGAGGCCTGAGTCCCCACACTTTCGATTTTATAGGTGTCTTCACCATCAGTGGCGGCCATTGAAAAGGTGCCATCAGATGTCAAGGAAATTGTAATTGTTTTGTTACCATTGCCAGTTTCTTCTCCATACCAGGTAGTGATCTCAACTGATGATGGGGCCCCACCATCTTCCACAACAGAGCCTGTCATGGTCTTCTCACTTTCCACCTTGAGGAAGTTAAGAGGAGAGTTTGTGTTCTGCTTTAAACCACGGAACTGAACCCTTGGAATTTGGGTGAGATCACGGCCCAGGCACACAGGTTCCATGTCTCCAACAAGCACTGGGTACTCTCCACTTGTGTCTTCCACTGGATCTCCAATGAGTTCCAGCTTCAGCACATTTGAAACACGATTCTGTTTGTTGTGGACAAGAGGAAGAAGAAAGGATCAAACCAACTGCATTAGTCTAGTTCAGGCTTTCGCTGTGCAAGGATCTTCTGTTGTAGCACTCACCCCATTGCAGCTGTTATCCTGTGCCATGGCCCAGTTGGGTACAAAACCAAGGGATGCCAGAGCAGCAAATTCAAAGACCAAAATGTTGAGCTTCATGGTGTACAAACAGAGTAACTTTGATTTGTTTCTTCTTTGTTTTTCCTTCCTTGTTGGTTTTCAATCTGTTGAGATTGAAAATTGTGAGACCTGATAGGCAACCTCCAATGAAGGCGCCGGGAACCTTTGGTTGAGATTCAAATAAATCTGCGAGTGTCGGCCGGTTCCGTTGATTTCCACCGGTACTCGAGCGAACCAAATCAAGCAATCATATTTGAAAGAACAAAGTTCCAGGTAGACCTAACAATTATCGCGTCGAAGCTTCCAAGATTGCCACCAACGCTTCCAAGATTGCTATCGGTACCAACGCTGTGAGTTGGAGCGCGGTCATGTTGGTCCTCGTAGATTGTAGTATTGGATCACGCACCACCGAGTTCATTTCCGTTGGGGTCCATGTCGAGTTCGAGTGTGCCTATGTCCGTGCTGCATACCGGTGGCAGCTTCAAGTCATGTCGTTGTGGGTGTGCCTGTTCACCTGGTCACGAATGCCCCACTTTCTTACTACTAGTACCTGGTAGTTAAAGAGGGTGTAAAACATCGAAATATGTACGGGGAGTAGACTCTAATTGGATTCATTCAAAATTTCGTCGCCAATTTGACACCGGTACACCGGTACTGCCTGAGGGAGCACAACGGAGTTGCCTAGTTGCGTCAAGGTTCAAAACGAGTTTGAAAGCATCATCATCAACAAAGTGAGTTGCCGATGCTGCCCCAACGCTCCAACATACTCGTACCGGTGACAGCTCCGGTGGCAGCTCGGGTGGCGGTGGCCGATTGCAGGTGGAGGCAGATGTTGCATTCGGTCACGGTTTTGTCACTCCGCGATCCGCGAAAGCCCACAAAAGAGCAGGTCCCAGCAAGATCCGTTGTCATTGGCATCTCGATGCTGAATAGGAACAGCTGAAGGAAACCGTGTTGCTCTCTTTCCTCCTTCCTCGCGAACGATGTTGTTTCCGCCTCCGAGACAATGTTGTTTCTGACTTCGAGACATGCCGTTGAAACGTGTCGCTTGCTCAACAGGGCGCTGTGTGGTGCAAAAAAAAACTTTCAATGACACAAACTGGCCGTTCCTCTCAGATTCTTTCACAGCGATACATGGCGGGCACTTCCTCTTGCGTCCAGCTATGGCTTGGACAGCGGCTGATCATTGATGGCTTCGGTTTGTCGATGACAATTTCTCCCCTTGGTTGGATCAAGATGGTTCCAATGAAGTAAGTCCCTGTCTTGCTGGCATACCCGCGCCACCTACGATACCGACGATCCCATAACAAGACATCGAACGACGGCATCCTTCGGCAGCATTTGGGGTTTCCCATGTAGCAATAGGTCGCCGCAATCAACCGGCCATGAAAGGGAGGGGTTTCTAGTTCGGTATGGCTGATTTCATAAATTGTAGTATAATAGTTCAGGCAAACAGATTGTAAGAATGCACATCCACAGTAACAATTTATATTCTTTTCGCCCATGATGCCCCTGCAGCGCTATTTATTGCACCAGACAGCGGCCTGGAGGAATGGAAGAAAACTCGTGTTGGGATGGAGCAACCAGGTACTAGTACATAGTAATCCGAGAGGGATAGATCTTGGTTTCGCCACGACATATCCGCATACTCGAGTAGTCTTGTCCGAGCTCTTCAGTCGGCCCTCCCATCGTATCCTAAAGGCGTGGCCAGCCCCCATGGTCAAACATAGGCAGATTGTCATATCGATTCTCGCCATCCAGTCCAACAGTGGCTTCTGTACACAAGAAGGCAAGTCGTCGTTCAAGTGTATTGGAAGTTGGGAATTCCTCGGCATGCATCTCGATCCATTCGTTGACATCTTCTGGTGCAGAACGCTCCACGATCACCATGGGAAGTGCCTTCTCGTCAGCTACAAAGGTCGAATACATGCTCTGTACGATAGACTGCCGGGAAAAGGCACTTGAGGAGTCGTCGCGGTCCTTCATTACAGCAAACAGGCCCCTTGACGCCGCGTGCGCCAGCAATGCAACATCGTGTACCGGGGGACACCACCACAATGGAAGATCCTCCAAATTCTTGCACATGGTGACAGACTTGGCTGACTCTACCAGGTGATCAACCGCAACATCTCCTGCAGCGACATGGAAAGCCGATCTCATCAAGCGTACTCTACGGAGAATGGCAAGGCTGCACCCGACAGCTTCCATAGATTGTTCTTCTGGCCCCATGCAGGGATCCGGAAGGGGCGATTGGACTTGCCTGGATGGCTCTTGATACTCATTGATACCGAGAGGAGTTTCGAATTTCCCCTTGCTACCTCGTGCATTTTTCACGGAAGGTCCGTTGCCTCCCACGCATAAACGCACACAAAAGGGAAGCAAGACCTTTCGGACGTAACTTCGAACGGTGTCTGGATCTGGTAGTGCAGCATCTTCGGCAAGCTCATTCACATGAGCCATGAAGGTTTCCATGTTGAAGAGAGACGCAGGTTCCTCGTCGTCGTCATCGAAAGCCCCGCTTTGCTCTCTTGAATATCTCCAGAGGGATGCGTCCACAGTCTCGGCGGTGTTATAATCAGGCGGGAATCCATATAGTAATACTGCAGAGCAAACGGCGGCTCTCAACATGGCGTTGCCGCGAAAGCTTTCTGGAATGCTGTCCTCGTTGGCGGTGATAGTTTCTTCCAGAGTAGCCGAGTCCTCAATTGGTGACTCCTGTCCAGATTTGCTCACATCTGGCATCTTTTCTTCCTTTTCTCCGTCGCTCGTCTTCTCTTCGCTCTTGATTTCTTCCTTGTCTTCACTTGGCTCAACCTTGGTTTGACCATTGGCATCGCTCTTTGAGGTATCCTTGTTGTTTCCGTTGTCCGTCTTGCTGTCTTTCTTACCAACGGCGGCGGGTTTAGAGGCTTTCTGAGAGTCTTCCAGCTGTTGTTGTAGTCGGGCGGACCGACGACTTTCAGTATCAATCATTTCTTCGATCGTGGATGCATCCGCATGTGCAAGGGCTGAGATTGCAATGCGAGTGAGATTCATGGGGACACCAATAGCGCGCAGATATCGAGGAGATTCAGTGCCATGAGCAATGTGATACAGTTCTGCGCTGGCTGCCCCAATGCTGTAATCTCCCCCGTCGTCTAAACTTCGATGTGGCGATGCGCACTGGGTTCCATTTACGCCAACGCCGCTGTATTCGCTGATCAAGTTGGAAACCACGTCACCCGAAGGATACAGCGTAGCGAGCGCCTTCTTGCGAACCTTGCCACTAGTTTTTACATCTTCGGGTGCTTGCCAATGATTGCCAGCTTCCAAGTAGTTGTAATTGCAGTCGGTGCGGTGATCCAGGCTGCTTTCTAATTTGTTGAGAACCTCAAGGAGGCGACGGTCCAAGACTCTTGAATCTGGCATGGGCAGCGTCACCACAGTGGCATTTGCAACGCTATCGGGGACAACCTCTACTGCCGCGGCTGTAGCTGCTTTCTTCCCTGCGCCGCTCTTCCCGCTGGAAGGTTCTTCCACCGCCACTGGAGAAACCACCTCGTCGCTCTCCGTCCCGCGAATCGCGGCCACGATAGATTGCTTCAAGCGGTGCAGAGTTACGTATCTCTGGTCCTCTGCAGGGCGGATATCATCCTTCTTGGCATTCTGAGCCGGCATATTGCTCAAGACGGCATCGGCAGCCGCGCCACCTTGGCGCAAAGCGAGGGCATTCTTTTCCCGTTCCGATGCGGCCGCTGCGGCTGCAGCAACCGCCGCTTGAATCTCTAACGCCGCTTTGGCTTTCGTATCCTCAAGGGCCACATCAAACACTTTGCGTGTCGCTGATGCAGCGGCTTGGAAGGAAGAATAAGCTGTGCAACATGCTTCGTCGGATTCAATATACTTGCGGATATTGTGGATGAAAGGAAGATCCTCATCGTTTCGCATGGCTTCATAATTCCCCATTCCGTGCACAAAAGTCCCAATAACCAGCCCAATATCACAAGCTCTGATTCACGAGAGGAGGTGTGAGGGCGCCAGAGAACGTGACTAATTACACAGGCAAAATTCACGAACTAACCTATCCCACCATGCCGCAGGTGCGACGAGGTCTATCGCGGTCTCAAGAAGTGTCCCAGTTGTCAATGATAGCTCCTCTAGGAGATATAGGACGATTTGTGAGCCATTTTAAAGTGGTGCATCACCCACCCAATTTTCCTTGACTCACCTGCTGTTACGTGTCGCGCCCGAAGGTCGGAATCAAGAGTTGAAAGGTCACTAGTTCCACAGCCTCGCTTGGCCAGCTCTTCGTGGCCAAGCACTAATCAACGACGAACCCGAGATCCGGTTGGTGAGACTACGAAACAGGTTTGCACACTCAGCGCGTGTTTAGACCTACCTGAGAGGACAGAATCTAATCCTTCCTCGACGACCCGATTCAGTCGAGATAAGATGCCAACACGGCGAAGTGCTCGTAGAGCCGCCCCTTGTCGTAGACTTTCAACGTAAGAAGGCTCTGCCAATATTAGCGGCAACCTGAGAAACCTGCGACAGCTCAGAACCTGCATGTGCTGCTCCGTTACAGACCCAATCGACGAGCAGAGCCATTCCAATTCAACTTCAGAACCAGGGCCCATCCATTCTTGAATCAGCAAGCGAAAATCCGGGGATTCCAGCTGATTGTCTGGCTTTTGCATGCGGGCCAGCAGTGCAAGAGCAACCTGCATGGATATTTGGTAGATATCTATTTATTTTTTCAAAACAAAGTGGTGTGGTGAGGCTCAGACCCTTACACGGGAAAGGAATCAAACTCGGCCCGTATCGTTTACTTACATGAGCGGATGAACACCTCAATGTCCTGCAGCGGCAACGAAGTCAAATTCGATTCGTGTCGGATCTTGGTGAAGCGACCGAATCCAAACCTCAGCGCCGCTGCAATCACCCTGTTTCGTTGCGGCGCTTCCCACCCTTGCTTCAGACGCTCAAAGGCGGGGTCCGCATTCGCGGCTCTACGAAGAGCTCGTATCTTTCCGTTCTTCTTCTGCCTCTTAATCGCAGCTGCATCCTTTTGCACCACTTTCTTGGGCTTCTCTCCCTCTTTGACGGACGCTGTCGCTCCAGTATTGGTTGATGCACAGGGCGTTGAAGTCGGCTTTGACTTGTCTTGCTGCTTTGCTTGCCCCTCCCGCTCTTTTCCTTCTTTCTCCTTCGCCTCTTTTTTCTTCTTTTTCTTTTTCTTCTTTTTCTCTGCTCTGATACGCTCCTTTTCTTCTTTCTCCTCTTGCTCCTTCAGTGCAATTTTGTCCTTCTTACGCTGCTCGAGTTCATTTAGCTCTGCATACGGGTTGTACTGTTGCACCTGCGTTCGTTTTCGCTTCACTCCATCATCAATCATTTGTGCAACTTCCTCAGGGGTTTCAACGGGAATGTCAAGACCAACGGCCTTATGCCAAAAGTCTGGATCATCAAGGTCGACGTCCTTTTCTCCGTCTCCTGTATCAGTAACGAAACTGGCCTTACTGAAGCTACCAAGTCCACTTCCCATCGACGCAGCGGAGCCAGCGCCGTACGTGACTTTCTTGGAACTCCGCTCCAGGAGCTGGTCGATGTCCGTCTCCATGAACTTTTCTGCCTCGGCATCGTCTTCATCTCTGAAGATGTCATAAGCACCCTTCTTGAGTAGCTCGTCAATCTCTTTTGCGTGTGCTTCCTTCTCACTCTTTGGTTTCTTGCCTTCTTCGGTTTCATCATCTTTCTGGTCTCGCTGTTGGGCCAGCACTGCTCGCTCAAGGCCAAGCTTCATGCTCGCACTGTGGAACATGTGCATCTCGTAGGTCTTGGCCGTCAGCAATCGAAAGATCTGGACTTTTCTTGTTTGGCCTACATATAGAAAACAGGTTTCTTCGCTTCAGCAAAACGTTCTGGAGAGGCTAAGTTACAAGAAGCGATGGCACGACTTACCGATTCTGTGAGCTCGCGCCATGGCTTGGAGATCGTTCTGTAAGAAGGACATTGAGAGCGTAGTTATACAAGAAATGTAAGGGTCGGGAAAAGTAACAGCATAAGTAGCCAGGTGCCGCCCCATATTCAGCTCGCACCTGGGGATTCCAGTCTGAGTCAAAGATTACAATGGTATCGGCCGACGTCTGTTTGATGTTTCAACACGTGAGCGATCGTCAGCAACATGCCCAAGGTGAACGGAACGTGCAACAATGGGCGATGACTTACGAGGTTCAACCCTAAACCCCCGGCTCTCGTACTCAGAAGCATGACAAATCGCTGACAAGACTTGCGATTGAATCGGTCGACAGCGGAAGCTCTTGATGAAGAAGACGTGGATCCATCAAGTCTCTCGTAGCGATATTTGCAAAGTTTGAGCAACTCCTCCAAAAGATCAAGGACACGAACCATTTGACTAAAAATGAGGACCTTATGCCCGCCCGTGAACAGCTTTTTGAGAAGCTTTTCGAGAAGGACCATCTTGCCGGAAGACTTGACCAATTGCTCTCCAAAGAGCTTTACATAATCCACCGGTAGATCTTTCCCCTCGGCATCTTTGGCCTTCCAGTTAGCGGCTGCGTCGGTCAAGATCCGGTCTTCGACGCCCTTCACCAAGTACGGATGGTTACAAATCTTCCTGAGTTCCATCATCACATTCATCAAACTTGGTGCATTGCTTGGTTTGGCACCCTTGTAGAGGAAGGCTGTGTTCCGCTCATAGATAGCTTTGTAGTATTTCTTCTGGATAGGCGTTAGAGTAACTTCCAGGATGATTTCTTCCTTTGGAGGAAGAGATGTTTCCACGTCCTCTTTGACTCGACGAAGCAGAAATGGCTTCAAGATATTGTGGAGCTCGTTCACCTGGGTAGAGTCATTCAATTGACCAAATTTTTCAGTGAAGCCTTCCCTATCAGCAAACGTCACGGGATCATCGAAGTGCAGCAACGCCCAGAGTTCCTAGAACGAGACAAAACGTCAAACTCCCTGTTTAGTACAAAATAATACCCCTGTTGCACGAAGCTGACTTGACTTTTGACATACCTCAGTGTTGTTAGCCAGAGGAGTACCTGTCAAAAGCACGCAGTGGTCCCTAGGCACGGATGCCAATTCCGCAAAGAGCCGAGAGTCTGGATTCTTCAGTCTAAAACAAGCATGCAGTGAAAGAAATTAGTTGTCACGCAGACACGTCGACGATAGTAACAGAACAACCGCCGCCGACGACGCCGTACCTGTGAGCTTCGTCTACAATTAGAGCCCGCCATTTGATCCTGGAAAGCACAGCAATGTCCTTTAGAACCACCTCATAGGTTGTGATAAGGAGATTGAATTTGGTTACATGCTGTTTCATGAGCTTGGCGGCATCGGTCTTCGGGATGAACTGCTCGGTGTAGAAGAATTCTTGCTGAGCCAGAAACTCACGAGCATCTGCCGAGCCATGATACAGGACGACGTTGAAATCAGGTGCCCAAGAGCGAGCTTCCGATTGCCACTGAGCGATCAGTGACAAAGGCGCAACAATCAGGAAGGGTCCTCGAACTCTTGCCAATGGATTGCGCCATAGCTCTTGAAGGAAGCCTTGACGGGATGCAGGAATGAAAACAATTGATAAGGCCATATTTTCCCACCGCGAAAACCAAGCTCGAAGACACTTACCCAAGGTTTGAACGGTCTAATCAAACATTGTTCGAGGAGCAAACCGGTCAGTGTCATGGCATTCGCAACTCATAATACGCGCCACACCAGAGGTAGCACTACCTACCTTCCCCAAACCCATCTCATCAGCAAGAATACAGGAACGTTTGTTCCACCAGTTGAATAGCAGCCAATTGACACCTTCCAGCTGGTATGCCCGAAGCCTGAACCCTTGCTTCGGCTCACTCTCTTCCTCCTCCATCTTGTCATCATCCCCCAGCAGCTTCGCGACTGGTCTTACTCGCGAGGATATCCCGTAGGTAGCCGTTTCCTGAAGCTTTCGGAAATCCCTCACGTGGGGATGCGGTGTGTTCACAATCTCCTTCAGCAATTCTGGAGCGGGGGGCTTTTGTCGATGCCAAAAGTCTTCGCATTCATCCACTGCATCTCGTTTGATGTCCCTCCAATATTCCCAGGTGAGATCAGCCCATGGCAATCCCTTCCACTTTACTACATATCGCACGTTGCCTTCGGTTGGGTGGAGCAAGCACATCAGCAAAACCACAACGGAAGATCGCGAAAACAGCGTTGTCGGGTATATTAAGGCACTTACCTTCAGGATCCCAGGGTTCCTCGGTTTTGTGAATATCTACGAGATCTTTGATGATAATAGGATTCGTTTTGGGCTTGGCGGGTGATGATGTTGCTTCTCCCGTCGCCGTCTCCACGTTGCTGCCGCTGCGAGCTTCCAACTCCTCTTTGAGCCTCTGTGCATCTTGCTCTGCTCGGATATTCAACGCTCGTTGCGTGGCCAAAACATTCAAATCCATTTCATTCTCATCACACCCCACAATGCGCTCGATTTCCATGTTTTGCGCCGGGAAGAATTCTTCGCTCCCCCCATGTTGTTCAGCTTGCTTCTCTTCTGAAGCATCACCATGACTCTGAATAGCAGCTGCTGTAGCTCGTTCTTCTTCAATAAACTTTTTCCAATCTTTCCCCAGAGCGAGCTCTTGGCTTTGATAGTATCGTCGGATCTTGTGACGAGCTGTTTGATTGGCAGTATCCGTTTTCAGAATGTCACTTGGTCGCTCCCAGCTGCAATGCAGGTACGACCGTCCTCGCCATTTGACAAGTAGCACATCCTCCTTATGTTCATTGGATACCTGGATGGTGTACATGGGGTTAACACTCTCTTCCACTGACTTGGCCTTTTCCCGTTCAGCAGCAATGGTTGTAACGACGGGGCACTGCGTGACATTGATTCGCGAAGCTTCCATTCGCTTGAGTGGGTCCTTCCAAAAGTCGACATGTGTCAGTGCCTTTTGAGACAGACTGGCCGCTTCCTGCGGATCGAGAAACTTGAGTGCATTGGCATCTTGCCATTGCAACGAGATGACGGATCGTCGCTTCCAGCCCACAATCTTGTCCACCACAAAAACGCTGGAGATGCATTCTCTGGAATACCACAGAGCGGAAAGCATTCCCGGTGGTGGAGCATCCACTTGTCCATCCTTGTTGAAAGATCCAGCTCCAAAGTCAGGGTCCAAGTAATTGAAGATTTCAATATTTCCAGTGACAGAGAGGGGACCCAAGGGCAGAGTGCTCTTGGCGACAGTTGCAGCCTTGGCAGCTGCTTTACTACTGCCATTATCGCTTCGACCACTGGGCATTTGCTGTGCGCCTTTCCGTAGCTTTTTGCTCTTGGGTCTGGCGGCGTAGTTTTCATCATCTTCATCACTGCTGTCCACCAAACCGTCCGATTCTCCAACTTCTTCATAGGAAGGTCTAACGCGTTTGGGGGTTCGTACACTCGTTCTAGGTTGGCCCGATGCGAGGTCGTCTTCGTCATCCTCCAAGAAGGCATCTTCTTCATCTTGGACGGCCTTTCGCTGAGGTCTAGGTGCCGGGGGTGGCGGCGCCTGAGGCACGGACTCCTCGGTTTCTTCTGGGATGGTTTCCATGGCTTCTGCTGTTCTTTTCTTTGGAATGACGGGAGCGGGAGCCTGCGTAATTCCCCCAGTATTCATTGGTACATTCTTCAGTTTGATTCTGACAATGTAAGGGTATTCCGAAATGATGGAAATGCGCTTCTTTTTTGGAGGTTTTAGTTGCAGTTGTTGCTGTGGTGGCTCTTCCTGTGACGGATGCTTTTGTTTGGGTGCATCACGAGCATGGTGATGATGCTGCGGCGGGTATGGATGTTTGGGCGGAGGACCTCCGCTACTGGGCCTCCTATGCTGTTGAGCTTGATGATGATGAGAGCTTCCATGTCCCATACTAGCAGTGCGTTCATGAGGCTTTCGTCTTGGGATGGTCATGTTTTCCAAGGACCCAGTGGAGGGCCGTCGCGGCACTTGCGACGATGTCAGCGACGCTGATGTCAAGGAAGAGGTGGATTCTTGCCTTGGAGGACGAGGCCGTCGTGGGATCGCCGCCATCATGAGGGAATCCACATTATTGTCGTCTTCCTTCTTGCCACCATTGCCGCTGTTGTCCATGTTGATTTGTACTATAGTCGGATCAATCAACTGACTGACCGACCACAGACACAATATGGATAGAAGTCGATTCTCCAGGCGTATCACAGAGTGGCCCAATAAGTCCAAAGAGAAGACGATAATACGACAATAGCTTTGCCGCCGCCAATAATAGTGATCTCAAAGGAAGGATCGGTTGTGGTTGTGGGAACAGTCAATCTCCTTTGAAGACAAGTCCAGCATGCAAGTGCAGACGTGCGGATCATGCGCGGAAACACGGTGTGCTCACTGCGTAGAGTGGATTGTGCTTGGCGAGGAGTTGCATGGGTGGCCGCTGCGCCAAGAAGAAGTCGCCAGTCCGAGGAAAGATCGAGCATCGAACGCCATGGTCAAGGGTTGACATCCAGCAGAGCTGTAAGAACATTGAGTCTTTAGTTAAGGTTGAGGCTTGACTCGATTCGGCTCTGGTTTTGGCGCCATCGTAACAGAGACACAAACAGAAAACATTGAAAGCTACAGCGACATAAGGTATTCTTAGATTAGCTCATGGCAGTGTCAAGCTTTCCTGTGGTATCGGTATCGATCGACGTAGTTGCTCCCTAGCTTGTGCAGCAACGACGGGAAAGAGCCGCTTTGCACGAGGAGGAAGCGCTGTTTTTTCCAAGGCAACAAGTTTTGACGTACCCAACGGTTTTGTCCACGGCACCATCATCGACAACAATTGTCTTGTCCTCACATCCAGATGGCGGGCCATGGAATTGCCCGTGTTCAACTGAATCGGGATAAAGGCCCTCGTGGGAAACCCAAGAAAGCGGACACATCGGCTGATTTTGTAGAACCAGGCGGGCAGTTGGCAAATCTGCCTACCGATCTCAATGAAATTGGTCCTGCCAAAGATGACGGAGGCCGCAAGGCTAAGGCAATTCGCAAGGGCAAAAACAACAGGCACTGTACCGGTAGACAGCCAGCAAAAGGTGACCAGACAAGCAGAGTTCCAAAGAAGCAAGCTCCATTAAGAAATGCCCTGATGCAATCCAATAATCCATTGGATCAAGCCAAGGAACGCCAGAGCCGTCCAAGACAACATGAAAGACCACGAAATTCCTCTTCTTCACAAAAGAATTTCAGCCAAAGCAGGGAACGACGAACTGGTGGTTTGTTGGATTCACTGAAGAAGGGTCCCCGCGGGAAGGATATGCCAGATGTTGCCGAAATTCTTACCAACCTTACAGTGCCCGAGTCTGAGTCCGAGACTGATCAAGAGAATGCAAGGAAGAAACAAAAACAATCCAAGCCCAACAAATCATCCAGGCGCTCATATATACAACATCAGGAAGGTAGAGGCAGAGAGAAGGAACGAGGGGGATCAAGCCAAAAACCGGCGCCTCGACAGAACAATAGGAAACGAAGCAAATCCAGTGATGGCTTTCTTGACAGCCAGCACGAGGGAGACCAGTCTTCCCGACGACAGTCTGCATTTGACAATCTCGGATCAACCCAAAAGCGACGCAAGAGTTCAGGGTCTGTACTTGACGAAGATCCCATCCAAGAATATGTGGAAGATGAAGTATACGAGCCTCCAAAACAACCAGCAACTAAATTCGGATTGTTTCAAGATTCCCACAACGTGCGAGAATCCGACCAAGACGAGTCCGAGGAGACACGGAGCGCTTTCTCGAAAACCCAAATCCAAAAAGGATCACGAACCAAGTCTAGAGTGGCGTCGCAAGCTGCGAAGTCGCAGACTTATTGGTGCGAAAGTCGGAATGCGACCCAACCATCCGCTAGCAAGAAAACAAATCAAAACACTCGGCGACAATCTACGACGCCAAAGGACACCACTCGGCGCTCTTCCCGCCTTGCAGACGAAGCGGAAGGCTCGGAAGAATCCCATAAACGTTCGTCGCGCAGAGAGCCTTCCAAAACTCCAGATCCCAGCGCAAACGATGAGCAAACAAAGAAGCCGTTTCGTCTCACCGGTGGTAAGGTCGGAGGAACAGCTAATAAGCGAAAGCGGAAATCAGCAACTCCCATCAGTATAGGCGCCACTTTCAGCAAAGCGAAACAAACTGAGAAGTCTCTTCGTTCCAGCGAATCCAAACAGAAAGGGAGGCATCCACCAGCTACTGTCGACTTGCCTGACAACAGGCGTGAAACTAGAGCAGCCACAAGGCAACGAAAGAAGAAACCTGGGAAGCAAGTTGTGATACACCTGACAGATTCGGACGAAGACGATGACGAGCCAGTCGAAGCTCATGATGTAAGCATTGGTCGACGTCTCGTTGCGTCGCACGACGCCCCGCCTAACCTTCCGCCGATCCTCTTCCAGGTACAAAAGGACGTCGAGTGTATCGCTGTGGGGACCAAATTGTTTGAGAAAGACTGTAGAATCGAAGTTTCGAACGAGCTCGTGCTGGCTTTAAAAGGAAGAAAGAGAAAGGTCAAAAAGAAAGACGGCGATGACCTGATAACCTGTATCGACCTGAACGGGAAGGATCTCAAATGCCTAAAGTTCTTTTCCCGCGAGGAGTCTCTTGAGTCGAATCTCGAGCCGTTCTTGGCGTTGCAGGTGGCCCCAAACGATCAAAACAAGCTTGGACGGTTTGGCGGATACGGGTACAACTCAAAAGACAAGCGGCAGAATTACATTGTCATTCAATTTCGCTCAAACGATGATCTTGAAGCAGTTCTTGGAGTGATGGGTAGTACACATCCTTTTGTCCAAGAAGCGCAGCTGTCCAGTGAAGAAGCCGAGCATTACTGCGCCGCCATCTTGAATGGTAAAGGCTTCCGGAGAGGAAAAGTCACTGATGCTTTCATAGGCAACAGATCGGAAGACGATGTGCTTTTGGTTTATCCCTTTGCTGGTGATGCCGATGAAATCGAGCACTGTGCCAGTGAGCTGCAAGAAGCAAGTGGAGAGCTGTTCTCTGAAAATCCTGCCTGTGCGGCCACACCAGTTGACGATGGCAAGGTGTCGTCTTCTCCTGAAGCCACTGATCTCCGTCGTCACAAATTGACTGTCCGAGTTCGTGATGTTGAGCGACTCAATCCTGGGGTGTTCCTCAACGACACATTGATTGACTTTTGGATCCAGTGGTAAGCAGCGGTATTTATGGCCACCAGAGTTTGGCTGTTTTCCTATCGTATTTCTCACCATCCCCATTTGAACTTTGGAATAGGATTACTAGAAAGGCACATCAAGACCCATCGGGCGACATGGTGCATTGCTTCTCATCGCATTTCTTCACCACTTTGGATGACGAGGGTCCAGATGCTGTGACAAAATGGACAGCACGAAGAAACATCGACATCTTTAAAAAGAAATTCATCTTTATTCCAATCAATGAGGCATTGCACTGGTCTCTCTGCGTGGTCGTCAATCCTGGCTCTGTTCTTGAAGAGGCCGATGATCAGCCCATGGCTTGTATGATTTTCTTAGACTCCCTCAAAGCCCACAGTAAGAGTAAGGTGTCCAAAACGGTGCGCAAGTGGCTAACTTCCGAATGGAAGAGACTAAAGCCCGACAGTGATAACAAGGATCCATTCCTAAAGCTAAAGCGCTTTCCTTTGCTCAGCCCAGAGAGTGAGTATTACTTCCTCAGGGCGTACTGAAATGTCATATTTTGCTAACATCTTCGCATTCTTTGTTGTGAATCACGGAAGTTCCCTATCAGAACAACAGCTGGGATTGCGGTGTCTTCGTTTGCCGATACGCATACTCAATGTACGCCCTCAGGGGCCAACCCTTCAATCGCGGCAATCAATGGTTTGCAAAGAATTTGATTGATAATGAATACACAAAATGCTTCAGCTTTCGAATGGGTGACATTGCCAGGCTACGGTTGGATATCTTGAAGCTCGTTGGGAATCTTTCCGGAATCTATCTTCGGTGGAAGAAGCTAGAAGAAGAACAGGACAAGGTCGCGTCGCGGGCTCTCAAGGCCAAGACAGAGGGAGCATCAGAACAGGGTGAAGCGGCAATTGACAAAGCGGAGGCAACCACGGAAGACGATTGCCCAGTTCCTACTTGTGTCACAGCGCATCCAGGAAGAACCGACCCGTCAATCGACGAAGACAGCGCTGTTGTCACAGAGTCTAGCCACTTGCCCGTAGGGGTGGAGGCGGATTTACATGCACACGAACATGGAACAGACATGATGCCATCATTCAACGCGGATGGTGCAACGGATGACGTCAAGGATCCTGAGTTCAATGCACGGGAAAGTGGCACCGTCGCCAGCAGCCATCCTGGCAGCCACCCTGGCAGCCACCACATCACTGCGGACATGGACTTTTCCGAGTACGTCGACGGCGTAGCGATACATCACGATATTTCAGCAGCAGCTGTGGAGGAAACTGCGACCAGGGAAAGGCTATTGAAAGGGCACCCAGGACGGGAGTTTTCACGCACCGATGCAACGGGAGAGTCCAACGACGAAGATGGAAGCGAAAAGGAGAACGCGACTGGATTTTCGGATCTTGCACCATGTGATCACGATGATGTCTACCGCAGACTTCATGATGAAAAGAATCAATCTCCTGGACGTACCGGCAGTAGTGTTCAGTGCGAGAGCAGATCGCCGGGAAAGCTCTCAGAAGGGGACACGTTTGAGTTTTGAGTGACTATTGACTTATTGTTGCGTTGTCTCAATGGTGTTGGCTCCCCAAGTGGCGGGCGACCACAGCTTGCCTCTCTGGCTCGCCAGCAAGCTAGCTCCTAGTCAGTAACTACTAGTTCTGGTGGCACAATACTACCGTACCGGTACCCAATACTATCAAGCCAGGTAGCTATTAGTCAGTACTTGGAGTAACTACTAGCTACGGTGGTTCTCAGGGGGTGGAGGAATCCATTGCCCAGCATTGTCCACCTCCAGGCTCTTGGTTAGGATCCATTGCTTACCACTGTTTCTTGACTGCAAGGTGCCATTGTTTTACCACTGTTGACGTCTATTGTGACCTTTGTTTACCGCTCTCTTGACCACTGCTTACCACTGTCATACTCTGCCCGGGCAACTCAACCACTCTCTCACCGGAACTATGACACACAAATGCATAAAAGTGCCCGCGCTGATCCATTTATTTCACCATCCCCCAGAAGGAAAGGGGGGGGGTAGAGCATACTACTACTACTGTAGCTATTAGCTATTAATAAAATAGTAGTAGAATACTGGTACACGCAGGGTCCCTCCCCCAACATTTCCGCATTATTATTGCAGTTTTGGACCCTCCAGATCCACGCATCTCGACAAATCCGTGCACTTCGGTTTTGGTTGGTTTGGGTTGATGCCAAGGTCCAAGAAGAGAGCAAGGAAGATCTCCTAGCTAGAACGTATTTTGCAGGTCTACCCTATTCTATCCGTTGGAATGCCTATTGGAGAAACAAGAGCGAGGTTGACTACGGGCAGTGCAGCCCTTCGAGGTCTTTGCTTCTATTTGGCCGGCAATTTTGTCTACGTCCATTGGATGGTATTTCAAGATTGGTCCAAGGATAACGCTAGATACATACAAGAAGTGGAAGTCAATCCTCCCGAGTTGGAAAGAATAAACGCTGACCTGTTTGGAGTTTCTGACTTGGCTGGTTTTCCCAGTTCGAATGAGATTGAAAGTCTGCTGGAAGATATCAAAGTGATTCCTCAACGGTCGCTCGATGATAAGGTCGTCACCGTGTTGGAGGAATACAGTGCATTTCTGTCCAACGCTACTACTATAACCGATGATGACGACGAAGCTACGATTCTCAGTGCTGGAAGTCAAGCGATTGAACGACTGAAACTAGGAAAGTTACTACAATCTGCTTCCTTGTCCAAATTATCCGGTAGCGAATTGGAAAATCTCTTCAAGTTTTCGCTGTCCGAGTTGCAAGGAATGGTCAGGGACAAGAAGCGTATCCAATGGGACTCTGTCAGAAATATCCTCGTGGATCCCGAAACTCCCTTTCCCGAAAAAGAAATAGTTACCGCAGAAGATCTCCATGACTCTTTGTGTGTCCTGGAGGAGCTGCCAGAGTTGACTATGGAAGCACTGGATGAGGAGGACGACGACGATACTGCTGTACTAGTGGACGAAGAAGAAGACGAAGAAGAAAACGACAACCCGCAAGATGATGACGAGGAAGAAGACGAAACAGCCGACCTACTTGCTCAATACGCCCAGGAAGAAGACCTGGAATCCATGCTTTCCTCTACAGCGGCTTTGTTGGAGGACAGTCGAAAGGACCCCACAGAAATGTGCCAAAACTTTTCAGAGGTTTCTTCCTCTGTCACCAAGGGCAAGAAACAAATGGAAGAAGGATTCACTGAAGCCAATGGAATCATTGAGAATGCCTCCCAAGAGGAGAATGAAAGAACACTCGCTTTCATTGACGAACTAGAACAATCACCAAATGCATATGATGACGAGGAAGGAGGCTCTTCTTGCCCGGGGGAGACCAGTGACGACGACGTCCGTGAATTGGTGGAAGCTGGTTTGAACGCTCTCAAACGTCATGAAGACGTGCGACCTGCACTTTTGAACATACTCAAGCAAGTGGATCCGGATGCGGCCGAAAACTTGATTCTGGATGCGGATTTCCGTACCGAGGCGCCCTTGCCTACCAAGACTCCAGTAGACTTTCGACTGCGCGCATTGGTGGATTCTCCATTGCTACGAAACTTTGCAACGTCGGTGGATAAATTGTTGGACATTGTGAGCGGATACTACGACCCACTAGATCAAAAAATCGACCAACTCACGGAACGGCTCGTCGTAGAATCCCCGTGGTCGACGAACGAGGAAAAGAACCTGTCATCGCTGGGAGGAGTCTTTGTGTCGACCGTTTGGGAATGGAGCGGGCAAATAGCCATCCCCATACCACAAGTGCTGCGAGCGTTCTTGGAAAAGAGGGAACGAGGGCGTGCGCTCCTGGCCTTTCTCTCCTAGCCAGAGCTACGGTGCGTGATGTTGTTCTAGTAATAACTCTAGCTTCCTGCTTCCTCGTCCTCTACTACTGCTTTCCTACGGTACAGTTGGTATTATCTAGTCATGTATGCATAGGCGGCGCCAACGACCTCTGTGTTTCCTTTTCCAGCAGGGTCAAGTGGCGTCCCTTTCAAATGCATTGGAACGTTCCAATCCCCATTTTTCTATTCTTTGGTATGCCACCACCATGCACGGACCCCATCAATACACTTCGTACTGTCTGCCACAGATCTTACCATCATATTGCCAATCATGGAGTCGGAAGACAGATGTTCCTCCTTCGTCCCATATGATCTCATTGCGAAGAAACCTTCGAGCTGGTCTCAAAATGGTAACCACTGCACTGTCCACAGCCAACAGGCCCTCCAAAACTGGCTGCATATTGATTCCAGTTGATGACCAGGTTAACATGTTCAACACCTTGCAAGCATTCTCTGCCAGCTTCTCGTCCCAAAAGTGCTCTGCGAGGGAGGTTATCACTGCAAAAGGACCTCCAGCATTGACGAATGCCAGCTTGGCATTGGCCTCAGTAAAGTCAATCATGGCAAGAAGACGGAACCCCACCTTGTGGACGAATCGGTATTTCGGAGTCATACTCATTGCTATGGTGATGACTTTGATGCAGCCAAAAGCGTTGCCCTTAGGCATGATGGCACTAATGCCCCCTTTATGCACCAATGATGACAAGATGTGAATGACATGCACGCCGACATCTTCAGAGCACTCCGAGCTTAGACCATCATGGGAGAGTAAAAGGACAAGCTGTGGATCTGCTGCCACGGTACCATGCCAAGAAGTATGCTTGGCGAACTGTTTCAGTACAAACGTGCAATCTTCAAACAAAAGAGGGTCCTTCGTCCAGGCTGCCTGTGAGACTCCACAAACCAGCACTTCCATGATCTCCTGATGGTGCTCCACAATGCCACTAGCCATCAGGTCAATGCGTGCAAAAAGGGAACAACCTGCTCTGATCACAATATGCCATTTGTTGCAGCGGTCACTCGCGAGAGCCTTCATGGCTCGGATCAAACATGTCATGTATGTTGGTGCCATCGCAGGATACCGAGAGAGCACTGTGCACAGCAACTCAAAAGCATAATTTGCCAAGCTGTCCCGCGGATTTTCTCGGAGACAGGATGTGGCCACACCAATCACGGCATCCGCCTGACCTGTTTCATCCAGTAGCGCGGCCTTTTGACACATTGGATCGGTGGAACAAGAGAGGACGTTATTCAGTAGATGGCACCCATGGCCTGGAAGCACACCATGTGATCGCAAGACTGCATTGACAACTGCGAGGGAACCTCTTCCCAAATTCCAAATGAATTTGTTGCCCTTTTTGTCAAAATCAAAAGAAACACGCTCAAGGCACTTGAGTCCCTCCCGTTGGAGTTGAGAGGACTTGGGATACTTGGCAATGGCTTGGAGAATTGTCCCCATTGCCTGGAAGAGTGTCCTTTGCAGCAGTGCGTAGTTTTCCTCTTCCAATGAGTTGAACTTTCCCTGATTACTATGAAGTGCATGCAACCCAGTAAGTTCAAAGGCAAGCACCATCTTTCTCTCTGCCAATTCTCGGAAACTGGAAACTACGGCCTGGCACAGCTCCATGTCTCCCAAGTTTCTTTCAAATACAGCCAGCAACATTTCTGCACCACGCTGCTTGATGATTCCATGATTGAAAAAGCTGCCAAAAGCAACACTTGCACGGCAAATGGATAGCGTTGCTTTCCTCTGCAGTGCTTGGTTCTTTGGGTGTTTCTTCATTGCAAGAATCATGATCAATGACAACAATGCTGCCTGGTGATCACTCATGATGAGTTTATCAAATAACTTGTCAATACAACCAAAAAGGCAAGTTTTAGGATTGTCAAGGCTCTGCTTCATATGGATTATCAACGAATCCAACATGACTGCAAAACCATACAAAATGACAATCTCATGCTTTTCTGGGTCAAAACGCACATTGGCCAGAATTCGCTGGACTGCCGCATGGAATTCGTGGGAGTTTCCCACTCTCACCGTACTAGTATCTGCAATCCCATCCACGTAGAGAAACAACCTCTTCCCTTTGGATGCACGCACAATAAAAACAATCTGCTCATCGTTGAATCCCACACTTCTCAGGAGGAATCGTTCCAATTTTTCACAGCAGCTTGGATGGATGATGGTCCCAGTGACCTTTCCTTGAAAGATGGCTTTGTGTGGGACTCTCGATCGGACACGCTTGAATCCTTGATCAATTTCCGCCACAAACGTCAAGCTTTCCGGGTGTGCTGCAATCATTCTTCGTCAATTCTCTGGCACTGATGATTTCCTGGGTATCTTCTGGAGGGAGTTTTTCAAATCGTTGTACTTGTCTTGTGGTCTTCAACAACAGACTGTTTTCTCTCGATCTCCCAATGTACTAGCTAGCTAGGTTGACAGTGATAGGCTGGCGCAGTGTCGTTCCTGTTGTGTGTCTCTCCCTTGTCTCAACTGTAGCGATAGTGTTGTGTTGTTGTTGGCTTTTGGCTTTGGCCAAAGACGAAGAGCGAAAGATCCTGGAAAGAAGGAAGTCAAAGGAAAGTGAGAATAAATTGCAGCTCTGCTGGGTTTAGTTTAATAACGTACCGGTAGCCGTTCGCGCTGGCACGGTTTTCATTGGATTTTGAAACAATCCGCTCACACAATCCATCTCATCTCCACAAAGTTACTATTATCCCTTCTTCATAAAGGTAACGGTACCATACTACTGTCGACAATGGTGTCTAATCATCGTCAGTGTTACGGTCCTAGTAAGCTATCAATTATACTACTAGGCTTGATTCAGCTTGTGGCTGCTTCGACTGCTTCCAATGGTATCAAGTTGGTATCAGGGGTATCCGAAACCGAAACAGAGGGGGTAGCATCCCGAAGAACAAACCTCCGGGGCCTTACTAGTGGCGAAAGCGATGGGTCTTGGTGGAGAGATCCCTACCTGGTAAATCCAGAAGAGGATATTCTTGAAAGAGAAGAAATCCTACAAATACAGGAATCAGCGCCAATGAGTAGTGATCGAACGGTGGTAGGTCCCTTTGTCGGTTCTACGGTGCACGTGGACCTGGAAAGAAACAAGAATGCCGTACCACCACCAACACCCGAACGATTATCTCGGATTATCCATGGCGTCGAATCGCCCTCGCCTTATAGTTTCTTTGCCATGATACTGGTTCACAGAGGCAACGACTGGAGATGGAGTGGTTGTGGTGGCACTCTGGTATCCAACTGTCAGATCATTACAGCTGCCCATTGTGCAGAAAACCCCGACATTAGCATGGACGGAGTCTTTGTGAATGCCTACAGTCCTTTCCAGGGAAACAATAGCAATATCCCGTTTCATTTCTCTCCAGTTCGACTCGTCGAGTCACACCCAGATTATGACCCGGCCACCAATGAAGCTGACATTGCCATTATCCATATGCAAGACTGTTTGGATGTCGAACAGTTCCCACCTGCACTTCTGGCACAGGATGGACCTGTTTATAATAGGCAATACCTCCCTGCCACGGGGTCACCACCGCCACCCGTCGCCATGGAAGTTTTGGGGTTTGGTAGCATGTCCGACAACGCCAATGTTCCTGCAGATGTCCTACGACAAGTGCAGATCCCTTTTCTGTCACGGGACGATTGTCTCAACTACTTTTCCGAGACGGATGTCCTCCCAGATATGGTCTGCGCGGGCTACGTTCTGACGGGTGGACCGGATGCCTGTCGAGGGGACAGCGGAGGTCCGTTGATACATTATCCCATGGAAACTGTTACGGATTCGTCAGGCACCGTGATTGAGACCAAGGTGGTACCACGGCTGGTAGGGGTTATCAGTTGGGGAGTGGGCTGTGGGCGACGCGATTTTCCTGGGGTATACATCTACATACCACACTATCGAGACTTCATTTGGGATCGTATCTGCCCTCGCGCCTCCTTCCCATTGACTCGGCCATGGTGCAATGATGAAACGGCCTTTGTTCGGCCAAGTTCGACAGCGTCAATTGCCACATCAACCACCGATTCCTCACCAGGTACTGCCTCCAGTGGCACTCGGACTATTTGCAAGCTTGACCGGGCAATCTGCTTAGAAGATGGAGATTGCTGCTCCAACTCTTGTAGAAGTTTTGAGAAAGTGAGCTATAAAGTCTGCTCCGATGGAGCCCGGCAAGATGAAGTTGGAGACCCTTTGGAGATTCCACAAAAGCTAGGGGGAGCAGCTGGTATTCGAAGACATGAAGTACCTTGATTGCTAAGTCATCCAGTCTGCACTCTTGCACTTGACTAGAGTACTATATCAATACGACCGGTTGCCCGCTTCTTCTTACCATGACTTATACCAGGCAGTAGTTCGCAATGCACTTGTTCTAGAATGGGGTTGATAAAAGTTGGACTACTAGTATGCATATGGAGTGCACCGAGTATGCACAATTGGTATCCTTGGAATGTTGCCTAGCTAGTAGCTAGCATGCTAAAAGAAACTGTAGCCAAGAGTTTGGGTTTCCATCGTCGCTTTGAGGCTGCTTTTAGCTACATCGTACATGTACTAGTACATTTACATGGCACTCCGCCACTAAATATACACACACACACAATACACACTATTTCGAAGATCATCCTGCGTTTGCCCAAAGATTCCACGGAGTACTTGTAGCAATAGGGCTTCACATGTTTATTAAACCTCTCTGTCGCATCGTTATTGGTGTGGCTCACAAGGTTCGCCCCCCAAGCTTGCGTTTGGTACGGGTACTAAAATCCTCGTAGATAAGGGTCATCTCGATGCCCGCCCTTCTTGCTACTAACGATTGACGGACCATAAGCGATCTCGATCTTACATGCCACCCTACTAAACAACCAACAACAAGAGGAGCCCGTCAGTGTCGAGAACGGAATAAGACACAACTGGCTAGCTTGTTGTGTGCTGTTGCTCTGTCTAGCTAGGGTGCGCAGCAGTCTCTCAAGGACAAAGCGGCCAACTGGTCAGCGGAAGAGGGTAAGCCGGGTGCAGCCCGCAGTTTCTCCCTGCTCAAACTGCAGAGTAAGGTTCAGTCCTGCCTTTACTTCAGGTGTGCGAAGGAGCTATTCCGTCCATAGTCTGGTCGTGTGATTGATTGCTCAACCTTTCACGAGAAAGCTTGGGATACCTGTTGGATCCATAAAGCCAATACGGAAGTGGAAGCCCAGCCTGCTACCCTTTGTAGTAGAGCTCAACAATTATCTTTCTCCGGTTCGGTGGATAGATCACAGCAAAGGGAGTCGAGTCGTAATAGTGGCAGGCTCTGAAGGACCAATCAACTTCAACCAGAAAGGCCGTGGGTATCGTTCTGCCTCGTATACCCTGATCCAGTTTATCATACCATGTCACTTGCGGCGGTACCCCCGCTAAAAGCGACACGCCCTTATGATCTACAAACTCCAATAGCTGCATGGCTGGACGAAGATGATGCTGTGTATGGAACTGTGTCGGCCGTGACGGGCGGCGCCCACCACCCTCCAAAGCCTCACTTTCGCTCGATGGAAGTATCTCAAGATTTGGCCAAACTGCAACGGCTCAGAACAGCAATTGTACAGGTACTGATCAGTGATGGGCCCGGTGGTGGCAGTAGCAATTATCAGGAGGCAGCAGAGCAACTCGATACCTTTTATGAATATCACGCCTCTCTGCTGCAGTGTGAGCAGCACGGAATTTGCGTGGAAGAGGTGTCCTCTCCCTTGGAACTGCCTTGGTCGTCTGCCTTTGCGGCACCTGGTAATATCCCACCTGCTGCAGCACGAGCCAATCCTCACGGAGACGACGATGACGACGACGATGCAATGGATATTGACGGACCCGGCCATTATCATCGTCGTGGTGGTGGTCGTGGACGCCGGAATAGCAGCCAGAGCAGTGGCATGGAAATCAGAGCCTCCATTACTTGGGAACGAGTCAACATCCTTTGGAACATCGTCGCTCTGGAGGCGTACTTGGCGTCGACCCAACCTCTCACTACACGACAGGGATGGATGAAGGCCGCTGTACATTTAGAAAAGGGTGCTGGTATTCTGAGACATTTGCGACAAGATATCCTCCTGGCTGACGCCGCGTCTTCGTCTTCTTCTCAACAGTCACCCTTTACTACTATTGATTTGTCCGTGGCCTTTTGTCGGTCATGGGAATCTCTCCTAACTGCAGAGGCCCAGCGATCGTCCTACGAAGCCTTTCGCTGTGCTGCACGACCACGTCATTTCATGTTGGCCAAACTGGCTACTGCTGCCGCACCGCTCTATTCTGATTGTGAGCAATCCTGTGGCCACGATGAGTTGATGCGACGTGGTGCTGCCGGTGGCGACGGGAATAGCAGCGCAGGAGGTGCCAATCCAATTCTCCTCCGACAGTTCCTGGGATCTTGGCAGACGTATGCTGGTGCCTGGGGAGTGTGGATGAGGACCAAAGCCGAACATCATCAAGGATGTGTCCACAGAGACAAACGGCAGTTGGGATTGGAATTGGCCCGTCTTCACAAGGCATTGACCTTAGGAGGACAGTGCCAAGAACTTTGTCAACAGCAGGTACAACAACAACAGCATCCACAATCATCTTCTCAACCTCCTAGTTTACAAGCCCTGGCACATGAAGTCAAACAAACCGTCGACGAAATGCAGAGTCGATACGTCCAGGCCACACAAGAACAAGCGCAAGCAAGAGCCGAAAATAACAGCAACAACAACAGCCATGCCACCGTACAGCCAGAGGACTTGCCCGAAATTGCGCCACAGCTGCAAGTCAAAGTAAACCAACCCATTGAAAAGATACTCCCACCGTTGGAAACACCACTCTTTGAAGACATCATGAACCCGCTGGTAAGGCGATATGTCGATCTCTTCATGTCCGAAATGGATAAGCTACTGTTTCAAATGACGTCAATAGCGGAAGAGAAAACAGAGTCCGCTCGTAAGGCGCTTGCCACTGTCAACCTTCCGCACTCGCTGACGGCGTATCGACAAGAACAAGCCGGCGGAGGTATTCCAGAAGACTTGTGGTTCCGTGTGGAAGCCGTTCAGCAAGAAAAACGGGTTTCTCGTCTTAAGCAGGAACTATGGGAGCTTCGAGATATCGCAGACGCAGCACGGCATACCTACAAGGTAATAAAGAATCAACTCGAAGAAGATCTCGCTATGGACCGACTGTTTCGAGAACAACATCCCAATTTTGAGGGTCATGATGCTGGCGAAGTTCAAAAGACGTTTCGACAATCGCTCGAAAATTATGACAGGTTGTTAGTGACAGCTCAGGATGGCGATGCCGTCTTGTTGCGAAGGTTGGAAATGCTGGATACAGATCCCAAATACAAGTTGTTGCAATTCCAGAAGTCACAGCTGGATCGATTGCTTCCGGGGGCGGGAATGGTTGGACCCGCCATTGATACTTCCTTGTTAAGCAAACTGTTGGTTGAACTTTCCGTATTGTTTCGGGAACGGGAAATGATTTTGAGCACCATGCGTGAGGAGCTGAAGAACTTCGACATCCACTCGAGGTTAAGTGAAGTTGACCTCTCTGGCGCAGCAGCTGCCAATACCAATGGCAATACCCCAAGCGGCAACGGAGGAGGCAACGCAGAGGCCGAGAGAGAGTTTCGACGGATCCTGATCGAATCGAAGGAGTCGTTCAACGAGATCGCGTACGATATCCAGGAGAACATCAATAAGCAAACGGAACTGGTCCAAACGATCCTGGTGCAAAACCAAAAGTTCATGGACGCTCGAGATGCCATGCAATCGTCCAGTTCGAGCGATTCTTGTATTGTGATGATTGAAGATGCAATCGAAGAAATCGATCAACTGTCAAAGCATCTGAAGGAAGGGAAGGACTTCTACGACGTTGTCATTCCCAAATTAGATAAGTTGAAGCTGCAAGTGGGGGATGTCAGTGCTCGGTTAACAGTTGAACGTTGTGAGTACGAGGACAACTGCCGTCGGAACGAACAAGAAGCTGAAGATGCACGGATGGCAGCCTCATTCATGGGCAACAGTGGAGGCAATGGCAATTCTGGAGGCGATGGCGGTGATGGTGGCCACAATAACCACGCCGTTGCTGCAGATCCCCGGCGTGGTTCCGATAGACCTACGCGAGCACAAGCGCCACCGGGCGTGGAACATGTCTCCCATTCTGTCCCGCAAGTTCGTGTTGACGATGAAAAGGTAGCAAGTCTTGTGGCGATGGACTTTGATCCGGAGAAAGTTGTGGAGGCGCTGAAAAAGTATGACAACAATGTGGAGCAGGCGCTGAATGAGCTGCTATCGTGTTAGCGAGTACAACTCTACTAGAAATTCTTTTGAACAGACGAGGAATGCTACTGAATAGAAACCACCAATGGAGAACGTTTAGCAAAAAGTGTCTGCTGGATGCATTGTGTTTGGGTGCCACTCGTCTAGCTAGCTAGCAGCAGAGATGCCGTTTGTGACATCCTCCGTTCTGGCTGCAAGGCCTTTCCAGCCTCCCTCTTTGTCTTTGCTGGCATGGCGACAATATATTGGTAACAAGCGGATGTAGCGAATCTCAGCGATATCGTCGAGCAGGTTGAGGACTGCCAATAGGTCCTCACGCCTCACGTGCGTTTGGGTGCTTTCCATCACCTCGTTGAGACTGACACCGCAATATCGCTCCTCCTGGTCTCGTCGCTTGCCAAATGTATGTTGCATCATGTTGGCATCAATACAGTTGGTGCCACTCCAGAGAGTCAGCTTCGGGAGGTCGGCCTTTCGAACAAAGAAAATTGCAAAGAGCTTCTTGAGCTTCCCGTAAGCCTTGACCAGTCCCTGAATTGTACGGAAGCAAAATGGGAGGTAAATGCCACAAGGATGTTCGGGAGAGTCATCGAGGTCAATCAGTTTCTCCTTTGCAAACGTTGGCAAGACAGTCTCGAACAACGATGGAGTCCAGTGGATTTGAAGCCACCCCGAAGGAAGCCAATAGTAATCCCAGATGATTTGTGTGAAGCTCAGTGGTTTGTTGTCGTGGGGGAAGTTTTCCTGTTGCTTCATCTTCATCTCTCTCAAGAATCCAATTCGATTGAAGTTGCCGTAGACATGACTCTGCTCTTCGTACTCTGCGCCCTGCTGCATAGATACAGTATAGCATGAAACATTGTTCTCGAGTTCCGTAGCTTTGATTCGCACCAAGTCCCTACCATCCATCTCCGTGAGAGCACCGTCCTCCACCATTTGCGCAATGACTTTGCAAGCTTCTTGAGTCGTATGGAAGTTTTGACTGCAAACAGCTTTAGACATTCCCAAGAGGAGGCAAACTTTCTTCCTTGTCTTTGGCTTCTTTCCACCATGTGGATGGGTTTCCCACGTGTGTCCGCGCGGACGACGACGACGACGTGGAAGCAGTTGCGCATCCGCATTGACGACACCAAGTTCACCCAACACAGGTTCCACGGCAGATGCTGCTGCTGTATGCGGCACAGCAGCATTGTCATTGGCGGGGAGATCGGTCGCAGTCAAGTCGAACCGTTCTTCGTCCTTTTGAATATCGCTTAGAGTGATCTGGTGGACGTTTTCGGGCCTTGGATAGAAACGAGGCTTGGAATCCAATAATGCACCGGTATCGACTGCACCATGGGGAAAGCACCGTATCAATCGAACTCCCTTCAAGACACTCTTTGGAATGTCGTGTCTCTCGACAAGAGCCCGCTTCGAAACAACTTTTTGTTGGTGACTTTCAATGCCTCGCTGGACAGCATCTCTTCAGCAAAGCAAGCAAAAGAAAGAAAGCGTGAGCATGTTGACTTAAATACATGTAAGATGTCCGTGACGTCTGTCCTGCCAGCGACCCACCGAACTGCTCTCCGATGCGACCCATTCAAGCCGTGGTCCGTGAGAAATCGCGACACGACCTGCTGGATGCCGGTCCGATTGGCTGCGGCACTGTCGGCGTCGAATTCAAATCCGAGTCCAAGGTCGTTGCGTGGATCTCGAGGGTCCCAAAAACAAAATGCGCTCTTGGCTTGTCCGAGAAATGGTTCTTGTACCATTGGGAAGTTGGTGTCGTGCCCTATCGAAAAGAGGTGGAGTGCGCCAAATCGCTCGAGTTGTTGGTTGGTGAGGCCATGGAGAGTGTCAGCGACGAGTGACAGCGTAAAGATTCTGTTATTCGAGTTGGCTACTACTGGACGCCATTCCAAGTGAAATTCGGAAAAGTCGTGGCAGGTTTCAATGCTGCTCGCCGTCGCAACGACAGGAGGAAGCTTGTGGGGCGCCTCGATCAAGCCAATGTCCACGAACTCTTGTCCCTGTTCACTAATTCCACCAATGAGGAAGATGTTGTGATTTGGCCACGCCGCCGTGATCCGGTGGACCAATGACGACAATCCCGACCAGGCGTTGGTCAACAAGGCCGTCCTTTGACGACGTCGAATCGCGGAGCGTCCAAGACAGACAATGCTGTTGGGTGGGATCGAAGCAATTACCATTTTCCTGGAAGCTACGGTATGTTGGGGACGTCCGATGATGAAAGAATCAAGAGAGCACTTTTTATCGAGACGAGACGGAGATGTGATGAAGAGCGTGAAGATTGGAATTAGTCTACATTTTCTTTAAACTTTTAGGGGCCATCGGGGGTTTTATGTGCTCTAGCTAGGGGGGTCAAGATTTGCATCGCACCCACTTTAGTCCCGAACGGGTTCGTTTTTGTTGGATGCAGGCCGTCGTTGCCGAGAAAGACCAAGACAAGGTCATGGCCAGAACCAAAGACATTGCATCCCAGCAACCGCAACTTTTGCATCGCAGAGTAGATCTCTTTGGTTGGTAGACTGTCAATGAGTGCCATTGGATCCTGAAGCATCAATTGCCTGAAGAAAAGAAGAAAAGAAGAAAGAGGCGATCATCATTTCTGCGAGATCTTTGGTCCAGTCCAGCTTACCGTATCCTGAAAGCAGCAAGATACCTTTCGTCCATATTCACCTATTATTGTTCGGTTGCATTATTAAATAAACCAGCACCATGATGCCCTTTGCACATCCCTCTCAACGATCTCGGTATCGTTCTGCTCGTTCGGTCCGACCTCAGAGTATGAATGGTGGCAGTAACCCTGGAAGCATCAGTGGGGCTGGCAAGTGGTCCAAGGCCAAAATGACCTTTTTCGTGGGAGCTGTCCTGGCTGTGGCTGGCATTACTGTGGTCCCCATCTTTATTCTCGAAGGAAGCTATAGCTATAAACGCATCAGTTCCAATCACCTGCATCCTTCCAAAATGCTCCATTTGGGGGAAGCCATTCAACGAGAAATGGCACAAAAGCTACACAACAATCACCTGCTACCAGCGTCGAGTGATACTGATCAGAACAGCAATACTGTGGAGGAAGGTCATCCAAATCAACAACCCGAAGGAGACCTTCTAGATCACGACAATGAGCAGCAAGAAGGGGAAGAACCTCCGTCTCCCTTAACCAGAGGAGTCAATCGGGTACCCATGAGTAAAACACCCGCATTAATAGGAGCCAGACGAGGCCATATCCAATGCGATGTCCCCATTGAAGACGAAGATCGAATTGTTTATTGGAACGAGCGACAAGGAGATCGGGATCAAGCCTTTGTATCACCCTTTGTTCTGCCCACCGCCAATCAGGAATACTACATTACCTTTCAGCCCGATCGTGGAGGATGGAACAATATTCGTATGAGTATGGAGATCTTGTTTGTCATTGCATCGGCTACCGGACGGACGTTGGTACTGCCACCCAGAGTTCCTCTCTATCTACTGGGTCATGGCAAAGCAGGTGCAAAGAGTTTTGGGGACTTTTTTCCTCTCGACAATCCCGATTTAATGAGCAAGGTCAAGGTCATTTCCATGAAGCAATTCATTGAAAAGGAATCCCCCAAATGGGAAGGCCTCTCCGACGACGAACGCCAAAAGCTGCTCCAAGTTTCCGAATTGTGTCTCCACCACGACGGCGACGAAATTGACTGTCAAATCTTACACAAGCAACTCCGCAATCGAGGACATCAACCCCAAATAAAACCAAGTGAAAATTGCTTCGTCTTTGATTTGGACGTGCTCCAATCGGGCGATCCAGAAAAACTCAGCGATGATCGGCATCTGGAAGTGGATCGATTTTGTGGTGGCCATCGAACGCCCGTATTTTACGACAAGACCTTGCAGTCGATACCCTTTATTCATTGGGATGCCGGATGTGACGGTCTTGCCAACACCAAAGAAGATCAAGCCAAGTGCTTTCGACTCCTGCAACATTTCTACACTTTCATCTACTTTACCGATCCCAAAGTGGATAATTACTACAAACGCTTTGTGCGAGACTTTCTGCATTACAAGGACCCCGTCTACTGCGCTGCCGCCAAGGTCATTCAGGCGGTACAAAAGGAAGCCGATAAGCTCAATGTCCCGTGGTCGACCTGGCATGTCCGACGCGGGGATTTGCAGTACAAAAAGGTCAAGATTCCGGCCGAAGAATGGTGGGAGAACACCAAAGAGGCTTGGAGACCCGGAGAATTGATATACATTGCCACGGATGAACGCGACAAGTCCTTCTTTGACCCCGTCCGAAAACAGAATCACCCCGTCCGCTTTTTGGATGACTATTGGGACATGGCGGGCATTGGTAAGCTCGACGGCTCGTACGTTGGCATGGTGGATACTATTGTTGCCAGTCAAGGACGAGCATTTGCCGGAACTTGGTTCTCAACCTTTACTGGATACATCAATCGACTGCGAGGATACATGGGAAAATCCATGAAAGATTCGTGGTACTCCTTCCTGCCAAGAAAGGAAGTGATGCGAGAGTTTACCTTTCCAGACGGCAATTATCCCGCTCGAGAATGGCAGATTGGGTGGCTTGGCATTGACACTGATGAACACGATTTCGTGGAACATGGGGTTCCTGCAGATGATATTCACGACAAGGCAGTTCTGCGGTTACAACTACCGGATGCTCCCAAGGAAAGCAAGGAAGCCCAGAAAGAGTCCATCAAGTTTAAGGTACGTTGAAAATGATGAATAAGTTGTTTCGGAAGACGTGTCCATGTATCGGCTCATCTTCGGCTCATCTTGTGTTTGGAAAGAAAATCGACTTCGCGGTCAGTGATCTCAAGCCAGACGTAGGGTTTCGAGAAAAGCCGGTGGCGCGATTAGTTGCCGGGAGACCCATGGACGAGACGCCAGCTGTAAAAGGAGCGTCTCGGGCTCACGTGGAGTGCGAAATCAACGTAGATTCTCTGGCCTACTGGAATGATCCTCAGTCAGAACGGGACCAAAACTTTCAGTCTCCGTTTGCTGTCCAAGTAAGTTACTTCTGCAGGGTTATCGTTTGAATTCTCAGGCCGCAGACGGTTCAAATTCTGACTCTACAAATGCTCCTTAGGGTGATACAAAGTACATCACATTCGCACCGGACAGAGGAGGCTGGAACAACATCAGAATGTGCATGGAAATCATCTTTGTCATTGCTGCCGTCACCGGGAGAACTCTCGTTTTGCCACCGAAGGCACCTCTGTATCTCCTGAACGTAAGCAGCAATCATCGTCGCCGAGCGAGTTGCAGAGTGTTTCGTAACATGGATGATCGTACACTAATTCTAATCCAAATCGTGTTGCGCCACCACGAACAGAAAGACAGCAAGTCCAAACACCGAGGCTTTGCAGACTTCTTCCCATTGCACACCGCCGAGTTTCAAAAACGAGTCAAGGTCATCACCATGGAAGAATTTGTCAAACGAGAGGGCGGTCCGGATGGACGGCTCCCAATACCAGATGGAAAACAAAAAGCCGTAGAGGGCGCAGCCGATGTCTGCGACAGAAATCCAAGGAGCGGTAAGTACTATGTTCGACTGCAGCATCGAAATCTAAAAGGGCTCACATCAGAGTTGGTTACGTTCCTCAACAAATTTCTTTGTTTTGAAACGAAGAAATAAGCTGTGACCTAGTTTACGATTACTTGATTTCTGCGGGTCACTCTCCAATGATCCGAGCAAAGGATTCGTGTGTAGTCTTTGACGAGGATGCCTACAATGGAAGGGACCTCACTGCAGAGAATAAAGCAATTGTGAAGAAGCGTTGTGGTGTAAGTTTACGATATGTTCATCCACCCCCCACACACACAGACACGAGCAACGCCTCAATTTCATGCCTTGTCGTACAAAACAGGAGCGCGCTCCGACATATTGGGACAATAAGTTGCAGGATAACGTGTTGATCCATTTCAGAGCCTCGGAGAAGGAATACCGACTCCTGGCACATTTCTATGGCATGATCTACATTACAAACCCAGCCATTGACCATTACTACAAGCGTTTCGTGAGAGATTTTCTGCATTACCACGATTCAATCTACTGTGCGGCGGGAAAGATCGTGAAAGCACTGCAAGCGGAAGGCGAAAAGCGCGGCTTCTTAGCTGACGACGAAGGGGGTGGTGGCTACTCAGCGCTTCACGTGCGCAGGGGTGATCTTCAATACAAGAAAGTGAAAATCCCTGCAGAGGAATGGTATGAAAACACGAAGGAAGTATGGAGGCCTGGTGAAATTCTGTATATTGCCACGGATGAACGAAACAAAACTTTCTTCGACCCTATCAAAGAGCACAACGATATCAGATTCCTTGATGACTACTTTGAAATGGCCGGCCTTAAGGATCTGGACCCCAACTATATGGGGATGATTGACACCATTGTGGCAAGCCGAGGTCGTGCCTTTGCAGGGACTTGGTTTTCGACATTTTCTGGCTACATCAACCGTTTGCGCGGGTATCATGGGATGTCAATGATGGACTCATGGTATTCGTGGCTGCAGCGCAAGGATGCGCTTCATAAATGGGAAGAAGTTGACCATTTCGCGTACGCGTTTGAATGGCCAGATTGCTGGGTTGGCATCGATGCTGATGTTTGGCCCTCCAGGGATAAATTCTAATGAAGTCAATAATTACAGTATGATTGCTCTTGAGATGAGTTGCGCTCATGTTGCAGCCGTGGAGACTTGTGGTCAAACCGAGCAGGTGAAATGAATAGTGGAATGATTAGAAAGCACCTGCTTCTGCAATCCCCAGTAGCCATGGCATCATAGACACACTGATCCTTCGAGTCTTCCGGCTGCTCAAAGGCCTTCTCAGCAGCTTCCATGGCAGTGGATTCACCAGCCACTGTCCCACCTTCTTTGTGCTTGGCATCATGCTGCACAGAAATGGGTGCTGGGGAAGTGGTTTGTCTGGAAGAGCTTGGGCTCATTATCAAGCACTTGCCATTCATTTCCAAAGGCATCAGCATCAGACATCGTGGTACCATTTCGAGCAAGCCACTCCCAGTACCAATTCTCGCAGAATGAAGACACTTGATGCCTCCATACTCCTGAAAGCCGGCACCAACTGTCTTGATACCAACCAGGTTCTTGAAGGATTGGATCACACAACCTGCATTCTCTCTCCCAGAGCACTAGTGAACACATTGTGCTTGGACGTGGCATTCTTGTGAGTGACACTGTACTTATCCAGCTTCTCTGAGTCAAGATCAGCATTGGAGATTCCACCCAACATGTATAGCTAGCATTTAGGCACCAACTTCCAAAACTCGAAGACATCACCTGCGGCCTTCAAAGGAACATCATCAAAGTTAGCATCTTATGGCAAGGAAACCCAATCAGCGCTGTCAAGACCTTCCTAACATGACAACTGCAGTCTATTGCAGTAGAGATGGAGTGACCTGAAATCCTGAAAGTGTAACCATCCGGAGAATTGCCAGAGAAGCAAATGTAATCAACTCCTGCAAAATCTATGGAGACTGCCAACACAATCAACATTTCACATGTACCATTAATAGCCCAAGCACTGATGATGCTCATGGGGGATGAGAAAGTCAAACAGCCAAACCAAAAAGTTTCCACAGACACTAAAGAGCTAGGTAGTACTAGATTAGAAGAGGTCGAGAGCCGAGAGCTTCCACGTAGATGTCACCGTGTTTTCGCCTTTTCTGGCTAAGCGAGTCGAGTCGAGTCACTTTTTGCTACCGTGAAAGCGCAAAAGATACCGTACAGGTCGGTACCAGCACAGCTCCAGCACCCTTTTGAAAGATACTGGCACAAGGCTCTTTCTCATTCTTTAGCAGCTGGCTGTTGTTGCTTGATGTCATGCAGCTGCTGGAACTTGAACTGCTCGCACAGAAGACAAAACTCCATGGAGAACTTCGGTTCCGGAAACTGAGACTTTGTTAAGTATTCTAGGAGAACTGCGACACTTCTGTTCACTGATGCTGTCCAGCTTTGTTGGGAACCACCAAACGATGGACAAGCTTGTCATGGTCTTGACACCACGCAGCTTTTTGGATGGCTCTGGACCCTCTATCCCAGCTCCCAACATTGGAACTGACGTTTGCCAGGCGGCGTCTTCTCAAATCCACGAAAAAACAAAGATTGATGAGCAATCAGCAGCACCACCTGCTACCCTTCTAAGCTGAGCAGCACAGCCAACCATCACTTTTTGGCTGAAAGTACGAATAGTTTGTTATCTTTCTATCACTATTTTCTGCCATAGTTACCAAGATGATGCCCCCAAGTCGTAAACGTCAATCATCTGGTCTCTGCGTTGTTGCGGCCGTAGCAGCGGTCTCCATGAGAGGTGAGTGATGTCAGGGTTGTTGTTCCGTTGTATCTTTTGTCGTCGTTCTGTTGGATTATCTCGCCTCGACAGCTGGCACAGCCGAAAGCTAGTTCTTTGGTCTGTTACCATGGTTTCAAAGCCAAGGGTATTCTACCCATCTCATCGTAAAGCCACCGCCATCGCCAACAGAGGACGGGATCATCTTGCTGCCTTGTTGAGAAGATGTGATGTTTTTGTACCCATAACCTAATGGTTGGTACACGTACATTCACTGCTTCCGAGAAGCTTTTTCGGCATACCGGTAACAAGAACCACACAACTTCTCCAAGTCAGAACGGAATTCTTTGGTATGCTTCGCTACCCATCAACATCCATCAACGCACATCACCCAAGCTTCCACTTGTTGCTTTTCAAGAGCTTGGAATCAAATCGAATCTACCTTCAGCTAGCTAGATAGCTGTTCCTATTGCATGCTTCCATCTCTTTGTCGCATCTGCCCCCTCCGTTTGATCAATTGCACTGAATCCAATCCAAACTCACCATTATCTTTCTCATCTCATCTTTCTGTGTGCATTATTATTATCCACCATGTCGGTTGCTACCTCCTTTCTTCCCACTCTTGTTTGGATGATGTCAGTCGTTTCGGTGGGTGCCTTTACTTCTCCCTTTATCCATCCACAACCACACCACCACAACAATCTACAACTCTCGCCTCCACGAGCATCTACAGCTCTTGCCGCATCGGGGGATGTCCAATGGTTTAGTTCTCTCTCGATTGATAATAATAAACCATCCCACGACGAACCCGATCTATGGACCAACCCCGGCGATGATGTCAAAAACTTTCGACGAGTTATGGATCCGACCAACAAGGTCATGAATGAAATCCAACTTTCCGATACTCTACTATCGGCAGCAATGAAATCCAAAAAGCAAAAAGAACCGTCCCATGCACTCCAGCAAGAAGTGTCGTCTCGGCGAAAAGTAAGAGCCACTGTGAGTGAAACCGGAACGGACAGCATGAGACATTACATCAAAATGATGTGCAATCATGAACTCTTGAACAAAAATGAAGAAGTGGTTTTGGCACGAGAGATTCAGCTTCTCATTGCATATGAAGAGGAACGAGAAATGCTCGAGGAACAACTCATGAGGTATGTATATACATCCACTGCCCCCACAAACTGATTTGTTCGTTTTAGTTCCTAAGTTCTGACTTTTCTTTTGGTTTCCCTTTTTCTTTCTTTAGACCACCGACTTACGCCGAATGGGCCGCTGCCGTGCGCCCCGACATGACGGTGCCGGAATTGAAGAAACAGATTCGACGATCTATCCGGGCCAAGGCAGCACTCATCGAATCCAACATTCGATTGGTCGTATCCATTGCCAAACGATACCAAAAGAGAGGTTTGTCCTTTCAAGACTTGAGTCAAGAAGGAATCTTGGGATTGACACGAGCCACCGAAAAGTTTGATCCGGAACGAGGATTCCGCTTTTCCACATATGCCACATGGTGGATCAAACAATCCATCATGAGAGCCATTGCCGATCAGGGGCGCGTCATTCGACTGCCCGTCCACATTCACGATCAGCTCAATAGTTTGCGCAAGACCACGCGAGAACTCAACTCGGAGTTGGGCAGGGATCCCACCACGGAGGAATTGACCAACCGAACCAAGCTCACGTCCGCGCGCATCGATTTCCTCAACCGAGTCTCGCAACAGTCCATCTCGATGGAAACCGAATTGAAATCATCCAAGACCAAGGGATCCGGTGCTGGATTGGGAGGTGCGGACGGTCTGACGGTGGGTGACACTGTCGGGGATCCCGAGCAAGCACCTGTCGATCAAGCATCCTACCAAATGCTCAAGGATGACATTTCGCGTTTGATTTGTACTCTGAACCGTCGAGAACAGGCCGTCATTCGCATGCGGTTTGGTTTGGATGACGGCAAGGCCAAGACGTTGGAAGACATTGGAAACCGCTTTTCTGTCACGCGAGAGCGAATACGACAAATTGAAGCCCGGGCACTGCACAAACTACGACAGCCCTATCGCAATCACTCGGTCAAGTGCTATGTGAAGGATTATTCATGAGAGAACTCCAAACAACCAATTTTCGTCCCACACTGCCGGGGCTAGCGCAAGTCGTTGTGATCAACCACAACATGCGGCACAAACAAACATGCTTAAATTTTAATCTAGCAACAACTTCCAGGTTCTAATGGGTAGCTTGGATAATGTTATTAGCTAGCTCGGTATGCATACATGAAACGACCGTTGGCTCTACTCGAGCCAAGCCACGTCAAGCAACATGGTGAGAAGCTACAGCGTTCACCCCTCCTGCGGTTTGCGCAAGTCGTTGTGATCAAACATGCTTGAATATCGCAACAACTGTCAGGATCTCTCTTGAGTAGTTTGAATAGTCTAATGTTAGTAGCTAGCTAGGTATGCATATTTGATGAAAGGACCGTTGAATCTGCTGGGGCCAAACTAACTACATGTCAACTTGGCCAGAAAGATTTCCTGCTAAACTCGTGTCTTTTCTCAGTAACCAATGCCATTACTGCTTCAAGCCTCCTACAGAGAGTCTTAGGCCTTGCCAGTAAGGAGGTCTGCAGGGGCAAGTCCTTGTGCATCACGATCTGTGTGAGGGACTCCGGTCTTCATCAAGATGGTAGTGATTTCTTGATGGCGTTGCTCAAAAGCCCACCACATGGGACCACGTCCATCCTTGCTGCGAACAAAGGCCAAAGTGGGCTCCTCTGCCAGAATGCTCCTCAATTCTTCCACTTGGTTGGTAGTAATGAGTCGCCACATCAGGGTTGTCTCTTCCGTATCAGCCCAAGTGTTGTAGATTTCATCAACACGCTTTCGTTGCTCCTCAGGTTGTCGTGACTCTTTCATGCGGCGCATTTCCTCCTGCATGGCAGTCTTTGACGCCTTCTTTGGGTTCTGAAGTGATTCAAAGTACTGACGTTGATATTCCTCGTCAGCTGCTCCTCGATTGAAATCCTCAAGCTGCGCAAAGTCCTTCTTTCTGCCAATAATGGTGGATAGGGCAGGAGGGTATTGGCCAGGACAGAACCAGCTTCCCGGAACGTCACAGAGCTTGTTGGTGTGATCAGCAACCCAAGCTTTGGACTCTTCTGACACTCCAATGATTTTGAAGATGCGTACCTTACCATACTTGGACCTGTACACCTCCTGGAACTGCTCTGGATCCACCTCGACCCCAGGGCGGATCTGATGGCCATGAAGGTGATACAGCAAACTTCGCTTCATCATTGGTGATGCAGTTCCACGGCTGTCCTGTTGTTTGGAAAATAAAGAACACCAGCATGAGAGATTCGCTTTGCAGCGACGGCGATGGAGCCAATGACAAGAATGAGACTTACGATCACTCCAAATGCACGACAAGAAGGATCACCAGGGCAGTGCTCTCTGTAGACCGAATTGGCAATTCGAGCCAAGTGGGGGGATTTGGCTATAGTTCATTGGAAAGGAATATTCTGAGCAGAATGTATCTTGCAAAACCATATCATGTTCACATTCCACACTCCTATGCTTACCAAGATCATCTCCGCCTCCTCCACCCCAGACAAGGACATAGTCAGCCAGATGACGGGCTAGTTCGATGACAGACCAGCAAGAAGTGTAAGGAAGTCATCTTCAAGACAACGGAGAACATCAATATTTACACATACCAATCTCATAGCCCTCGTCAATGTCAGTGGTTAGAGCCAGGCCAAGGAGTGCAATGTGCTCATGATTCCATGTGTTCCCATCTGCGATTGTAGTACGATTGCTGATACCTATTGCATATCATAGAAAGCGACGTGAGATAGCTGAACACTCCAATCACAACTCCTAGCAAGCACCTGAAATAGAATCATAGACACATACCCGTAATCTGATATCCATAGTCCCACCATGCCATGATGCGAGCATCTTCCGGTGTATTGTCTCGGAGCCACCAGTACGCTTCGCGGTAATCGTCTACCTTGACCACTCGACCATCTTTGAGGCGTCCTTGGATAATGATACTTGGATTGGAAAGATCTTTTGAGAGTCGCCAGCAGTACTTGGTAAAGCTCGTACCAACCGTGTATCCCAACAAGACTACGACAACCGTGATGGTGCGGCGAACAAAGAGACCTTCTTTGCTTTTCGAAGCTGTTTCATACGCCTGCTTGAGCGAAAGAAGGCCTTCAAAACTGTTGCTCCCACTCCCTTTGGATTTAGTCCTGGCAGATGCCGAAGTAGCCGCTGAGGGTGCTCCTCCAGGAGTATTCTTTTTTGGTTTTTTAGCCTTTTTGCTGTCTTTTCCTTTACCGTTCGTCGTCTCGTGTTCCTCATTGGCACTACCATTGGACGACGATCTCGGCACATTTTTGGAGGAATCCACATCACTTTCCCACCACTGCTGGAGACACCAGGCAAAGAGTCTCCCAGCTGCGATGCCTCCGAGTACGCTACCAATAGGAGCGGTCAAGAGGATGAGTCGGACCATTTTATGACTGAAAAAATACGCCGTTGTTCCCCACGCAATCAAGAAGGACGATGAGTCACTGAGATTGCACATGACCAACACAAATCCAATAGGAGCCACAGAACAAACGTGATGGAGGTATTGAAAGTAGGCTCGGCTGGAAGCCGGTTGATGCTCTGCGACACTGTCAACCAATGGATTCCCAGTTCGAGTATGCTGCACAAAAAGTCCTCGAACGCGAGAACTGATGGGTCCAAAGTAGCCGGATGGAGCCAAAAAGACGGCAAAGATGAACAAGGCACCCGCCAATGCCACACATACTTGAATCCGGAGCTTCCAGGCAGCTGTTCTGGACAGATTGTTGCGTCTTCGAATAACTTCGCAGAATTGCAAGACTTGGTATCCAAGGAATACTCCACAGGGTCCCAACTGTTCGAGGGACTTGAGAGGAGCCCATCCCACAACGGGGACCTGAATGGCCAAGAAAGTACCAATAGAATAGAAAAGAGAATAGCTCAACCAGACCTTATCGGAGAATCGTCCCAACCCCACCAGCATCGCCGCATGGACACCAACTAAATTCAAAACAAACACAAAGCCTCCCCAGGACGCAACCATATAAAAGTAGGAGAGTCCAGTGAGGCATCCATAGACGGCGATAGTAGTGACATCATTTCCGTTTCGGAGAGATCTCATCCAACAGTAAAAGGTCAGGATCATAGCGGTAGTAGCCACAGATTCATTGTCAAATCCTCCTCCCACACTTCTCATTAAATGAGCCGGTACGATGCTCATCATGGCCATGGCAAAGACAGCGCATTCCAATGCTGGAGAAAAACCGGAAAACGAATTGTTGTTTTTGGTAGGCTTGGTATGGTTTCTTCCACAAGTTCCCTGCACAATATCCCAAAAAAATTGGATCAAATTCGAGCTGGTATTTTGTGGGAGGGAAGCTTCATAGGCCAGCAATCCAGTAATCAAGGTAGCGATGGCTCCAAACCAAGCCGGCATGTAGCAACAGACATCGTTGAGACTCCAATTACTCAAAAGGTACCTGTGAATTGCCACCGCTGTGACTTGCATCCCAGGATAGATCGTCGTTCCCACAGGTCGGCCCAATGGATACCACACCTTGTAGTCAAACCAATGAAAGAATTTATGCATGCCATTGGCGGCAAGGTACTGGAGTTGTTAAGTGGGCAATGACGGGGTAAAAATAATAATGAGCGTGGCATCAACAACAAAGATGTTGTTTCAGTGCACAAAGGACAACAACTGCACCTCTCCTTAACCCTCCTTAACTTGTAGTGATACTTACCTCTGTGGCTCGATAGTTGAAATAGGGATCAAATTCATGAATGACAGGCCCGTACTCCTCAATGGCATGCATACGGATCCGATAAGCAGCATTCAAAATGACGGATATGGCATAGAATAAAGCTCCAATCCACACCATCTGCATTAGCCGACGCGACGTGTCTTCTGAAGCGCTTTTAGACACGGGAGACGCCATGGTCTCTCTTCTGTTTTAGCTAGAGCTTGATAGTCGTCAGTTGATGATCAACTGTGGCGGGAGGTGCTTCGGTCTTTGGTGTGTTGTGATCGCGGGTCGAGGGAGGGAAATTATCTGTGGCCATGCAAAAGATCCTGACCGTTGGAATCCTTAACCTTAGGTCGAAAAAGCATTGGTCGATCAGATCAGATCAGATCAGTTGATCGATCACTATCTTTACAGTACCGTATGGTATTAGACGTACTGTACCAATACTGCCAGTCCTCTAGCTAGCTAGAGGACACATGGCACGGTGGCTCTCCGATCCTGATCCCCTCTACTAGCTCTACTAGTAGCTGCAGTACCTCTACTAGAAGTGACTCGTGCTCTCGCGCTACCGGTATTGGTACGTAGTACGTGTACCGCCAGAAAGACACGATGGCATTTTAGATAGTCAGTCAGTGTACTGTACCGTACCAGTAATAGGATTTTAATGACAGAGGCTACGATTGATGCTTGCATTGACTCGACAACAAGAACGGTGGCTGGAGCGCCCAATCGAAACGACGAATTGCGGTATCCTCTTTCCGCGAACCGGCACCGTATCATCTTTCTCGAGATAACAGGCTGAGGATATCGAATCGAGTGATTCGATTGATTCAATCTATCGACGCTCGACTACTGTATCAGGTATGTAGTTTGTTGATGATGTTTGATAGTTCCGAAGAGACGCTCCTACAAGGACACCGATCCAACATTCCAGTGCCCTTCCGCTGGCCGCGATGACACTTGTGGCTTGATGGTAATTTCAAACAGAAAGTGCATCAGGTGCTTTGACTCTTCACCGCAACGAAGCTAAATTTGACGATTTGGTTTTCCCATCTACTAGCATGTTTCTCTCACTAGACGGGCACAACGGGATCAGTCGTTTCCACATGATCAATCTGTTGTTCGACTTTCGAAGGCTACGGTACAGGGATCCTGGACTGTATTGCACGCAACAATTTGATTTCTGCTCGTGTTTTGTTCGGATTTCTCTCGTTCAACAGCCCTCTTTTGGTTTGATCTCTCCACTGCTCCTCCATGGAACTAACTAGCTAGGTGAGTTAACAATTCCAGCAGCCAAGGACAAGCGCAAATCGTCACTATTGGACATCGATGAACCTCGCCAGAGAAACCACTCTGATGACAGACTTCCTCAGGATCATTTCTTCTACTGGCTGGCTGGGCATGTAGCAAGAGTCCGCCCAAGATTGCGTCCAGGAGAGGGCCTGCGCTACGGCAAGCCCACCACAACCTCGTCCGCCATTCCCAACCTCCCCCCTTCTACTAGTAGCTCATTGTTGTGAACTGGTCTGGATCTGCTTGCATAGCGTACCGCACATGATGACCTGTGTCCGCGCTATTTTACACACACCGACCACCGACATCAGTCCCGGTACCATGGTACCGGACCACGCGACGTCGAAATAACGGTTAGTGGGCCTGCTCTGCACTTATGTTAGCTATTTTACTGTACGCCGTAGCCTGTTTCGGCAGCCTCCTCTCTGCGTCCTCTGCATTTTTTGGCGCATCTTCTAGCCAGGTACACCGTACTCGTTCACAGTGCCGTTACCAACGCATTGTTTTGGAGGCATCCCGTGAAGGGTTGAAGGGTTACAACATGTACGTGTAAGTATTGTACGTACCGGTAGGAACTCAAAACGCAAGCGATTTCTCCTCTTTGAATGCAATGTGCAATTGTTATTACTCGAATCGCGCCGAGAGAAATAGATTTTTATTGATTAATTAAGAAGTTACTTCTCCACTGCCTGCCGCGTCAATCGCCAAAATGAGCAAACGTGAAAGAAGAACTTAATTGTTTGGTCTCCGAGCGAGTACATGTAATTAACAACATCAGTGGCAATCTTGCTCCTATCTACTCCCACTACGCTATTCTAATACTTGTACTGCCTGTACGGCAACTTTTAAGCCAAGCCTTTTGGGATTGATTCGATTCAGGGGAGCAGGCTCGATCGGGAATGGCTAAATCGCCCCGCAACAAACTCCGGACCAACGCCACCGGTTTCTCCACAACAGACGCAACGGGCTACGCTGGAAGGCCCCGTCATGCGACCCCTAGTCGCCAAAAAATCGGCATAAAGTCGCACACAGCATCAAAGTCGCATCAAAAGTCGTATGTAAAGTCGCATGCAAAAGTCGCATGAAAGTCGCGTGCAAACGTCGACTTTCTCGCACGACTTTTAAAGTCGCGCAAGATTACTCTAAGCAAGTCGACAGAGTCGCGTAGGATCGCGTAAAGTCGTTTAAAAAGTCGTACGAAAGTCGCGTGCGACTCGCACACGACTCGCACGCGACTTTGTGAACGACTTTCAGCGATCCGACGCGACTTTGACGGATCCGGGACTATCAGTCGCATGACCGGGCCTTCCTGCCTGCTACATGGCTACTCTAGCTAGTAACTTCTTTTGATTTGATTTAGGTAGCTATGCACAACTCTGTACCTCTTGAACTTGTACCGGCGAACCAAAAAAAGTTGATCGCTTCGACGCCATATACCGGTGGCGCCGTACCGCTCGACGCCTACCGTACCACCCCATTCCGTGAGCATTCAAGAGGTGTGCAGATGAACAGAACTCACAATTTTCAATCTCAACAGATTGAAAACCAACAAGGAAGGAAAAACAAAGACGAAACAAAACAAGAAATCAAAGTTACTCTGTACACCATGAAGCTCAACATTTTGGTCTTTGAATTTGCTGCTCTGGCATCCCTTGGTTTTGTACCCAACTGGGCCATGGCACAGGATAACAGCTGCAATGGGGTGAGTGCTACAACAGAAGATCCTTGCAAAGCGAAAGCCTGTACTAGACTAATGCAGTTGGTTTGATCCTTTCTTCTTCCTCTTGTCCACAACAAACAGAATCGTGTTTCAAATGTGCTGAAGCTGGAACTCATTGGAGATCCAGTGGAAGACACAAGTGGAGAGTACCCAGTGCTTGTTGGAGACATGGAACCTGTGTGCCTGGGCCGTGATCTCACCCAAATTCCAAGGGTTCAGTTCCGTGGTTTAAAGCAAAACACAAACTCTCCTCTTAACTTCCTCAAGGTGGAAAGTGAGAAGACCATGACAGGCTCTGTTGTGGAAGATGGTGGGGCCCCATCATCAGTTGAGATCACTACCTGGTATGGAGAAGAAACTGGCAATGGTAACAAAACAATTACAATTTCCTTGACATCTGATGGCACCTTTTCAATGGCCGCCACTGATGGTGAAGACACCTATAAAATCGAAAGTGTGGGGACTCAGGCCTCAGATGGGACAACTGCTGTGAAGTACATTGCTGCCAATTTGGCTGATGTCCCCCTTCCACCTCCAGTGGACCTCACAGGAGTTGATTTCTATTTAGTGTCTGAGTCACCAAGCTCTTCTCCCAGTGCATCCCCCAGCACTTCTCCCAGCAAGCTCTCCCAGCACATCCCCCAGCACTTCTCCCAGCAGTTCACCCAGTACTTCTCCAAGCTCTACTCCCAGCACATCCCCCAGTTCTTCTCCCAGTACCACACCAAGTGCCAGCCCAAGTGGTTCTCCCAGTGGGTCCCCCAGTGGAAGTCCAACTGCCCCCCCAACATCTTGTCGCGAAGCACAGATCAATTGTGGAAATGGCAATGGAAATGGCAATGGTCCAAATGGTAACAATCCTGATGATGGACTTCGCCGCAATCTCCAGGCAGTGGTCAAAGCCGCAATAGAACAGCGCAATTTGCGGGGCCCTCGTGAGCTTCAGACGACATACACCATCAGGTAAGCCCACCAGTTCCACTGCAAAGTTTTGCTATCACAACAATCCTAACTAATTTTGTTTTCAGAGTTGGTCATATCATCACCACAGCCACCTGGGTAGCTATGGGCCAGAGTTGGAGCAGAGTTGTTCAAATTGTCAACAATGCCATCTATCAAACAAATACAGCATTAGCCAACACGCAGCTTAACATTGTCCTGGAAAGTGTTAGTACATGGCTTGACCAAACGAACTTCCCTGATGCTGCAGCGCGTTCACAGGGTGAATATGCATACTATCTCCAGAGATCTGGAGATGGATACTTTGATGGTATTTTTGGCCTCCAAAATACATATAAAATTGATGCATTTGTGGTAATTGGAGAGCACGTAAAGGGAGGATATGCAAGCAACATTGGCACGGACATCACCTGGGACAGGCCTGGTTATTTTGAAGTGCAAAGGAACAATGTTGATTTGGCTGGTCATTACCTCTGGGCACATGAATTTGGACACTTGCTGGGCGCAAAACATGACAAAATTACGGGTTCTAGTTGCACAGCAACAAGCACATGTGGGTACATCTGGACGTCTTCCTGTCAGAGGACCATCATGACTTACCCTGATAAATGTGGGTGCACTCCATGCACTTCTGTTTTGGCATACTCACAGTGGGCTGGCACTGAATACAACAACAAGGCTGCCATGGCTGCATACGCCCCAACCTTGGCTGCCAGATACAACTGAGCATTCATGGAGCCATTGTCAGGTTTTGAATTGCTCTGGGGTGAAATCCCCCACATTCAAGGAGAAAGATGACTTGAGCCTTTTCTGAAGAACCTGGCTGTCAATGATCCACACATTCATGTTTTAGCCAAGCCACAATACAATACAACACCATACCATACCAGTGGTTCGTTGACCACCAATACATAATAATATTATTAGAATGAAATCATTTCAAACAATGCAAGTGTGTTGGATTTGTCTTGTAGCATGCTGTGATTTGTCGCTTCCTGATCAGTTCAATCAAGCCGCATGACCATGCAGTCATCAAAGCCATGACACCACTAACAGTGGCTGGTTCTTCGATCAACAACACATCATGGCTGGCTTTTATGAGGCCAGCCAACTGACCATGCACTGGCTGATAGGTATTGCTGGTCTTATTCCTTTTTCTCCAAAGGCGCTTGCACAGAGGACAACAATGCAGCTGCCATGCATGCCGTGGCGTTTCCGTGTGCTTGGAAGGCAACTCCTGAGCGAGGTGCCGAGCCAGTACCGTATGGCCCAAGGTGGTGGGGGTACAATCAGAGAAGGAGAAAGACGACTTGATGCTTTTCCGTACCTTCTTGCTTATATATTGATGTATGATTCACTGAGCCCTTAGTAGGCACAGGTAGTCATCACTAACTGATAGTAAACAAGTATCAATAAGTCATAATGACGAGACAAGGCAAAGTCTCCATGCAGTGCTAGCCATGAAATAGCTGTGCGAGTTTTCACTCGGTTGTTTGTTTGCGTGAATGTACGTGCTTTGCCAATCACAGCCTTCACTGATAAAACTGAAAGTATCGTATCTATAGTGAAGGATTGATTCAGACGGCAAGGAAGCCACCACCCCAAAGGACAGTCCTCGTTCCGAGCTGCGTCTTTTTGTTCCGCCTCGAGGGCGGAAGCCATTCCGCGGGAGTTGTGGATTGCGTCAAGAGTTAAGGCTAGCTAGGTTCTTCGTTCATGACTTGCTACCAAGCACGACTACCGGTAGTGGAGGCAAAGAAAGGCAAGCTCACCAGTTTCGCAGTACCGAAGGGTGCGTAGAAATCTACGGAGGAATGGATGGAAGATTCGAGTTAATTTTGCGAAGGGTTCTCGCAGCATCAGGCCAGTGGCAGCAGCCTCTTCCATTGCAATTATTGATAGTTGTAGTCGCAGACGTCAAGCAGAGAGAGAAAGAGAGAATAGAAGACTGAAAGTGTTCAGTTCGCTTGAGTTGTTGCTCGCATTCTATTAGAATATCAGAACAAAGCACCCATCATCACGATCGATTGCTGGGTCAAGCAAGAATACTATCTACCGTTATACCTCAAAGAAAAGCAACGAAGAAGAGCGCTGCATCGAATCTGTGGTTCACTAGGTCTGTTTATCACCCAGTTACCATAATATTCTCTGTTACTTTCACACTAGACTACCAAGTATAGTCCATCAGCAAGAAGCAAGCAACAACACTCCCACTGCTAACGCAACAATACAAAACAAATCAAACACAAGACAAGACAAACCAACATACAGAATAAGAGTCGCCATGTCAGCCGCTGAAGACACTACTCCCGAAGTAGCCCCCGAGGCAACAACCACAACGACAACTTCAGAAGAAAGAAATACCTATGGGTACACTCACTTGGATGATCTAGATCTGCCGCCCTATCGCATTCACGCCACCAATCGCAAATCCGCTTCCAATCTGCAAATTCCGCCGGGAACAGGAACGCAATCCCAACCCAAACGGTTTTCTCTCGATAGCTCCAAGGCTCGTTCCCGCAGTCGTTCTCCTTCGTGGCGTTCCGCCAGCAAGGATCGTTCGACAATGACCACTCAAGATGGCAATTCCTCGCTTTCCAGTTTGGAAGAATTCGTGGATCCCGATATCCTCTACGACAAGTTGGGATTTGTCGAACTCGAAGCCAAATCCAAGGGCGATTATCACCAGAATAGTCACTCGTACACATTTGGTGGCGACTCTAGCAGTGGTCTGAACAATCGACCCAACAATTTGACACCCGTCTCGGAACGCATGTCCGAAGATACCCTAGAGGATGTACACGCCTTTTCCGATCTCAGTGCCAATACCAATACGCGACCATCGTCGTCGGTAGGGACCGGAGGATCCACCGTATGTGGAGAAGTATCCAGTCATGTACTCGAGCCACTGGACGAAGGAGACGAAGACGACTTGGAGTCGGACAATGATATTGGTGTCGTCGAAAAGATTGAAATAGAAACCGAACAAACACAAGTCATCTTGACAAATTTGGAAAATATCTCTCTACAAGATCATGACGAAGATGATGAAAGGTTGATTCAACAGTCCAACAGCAACAGTAATGCAGGAGTGCCGCCGGCTTCCGTTCCAGAAGAAAATCAAGAAGAAGAAGAAGAAGAAGAAGAAGCTTCATAAGAATTGCAAAAACTGCAGTGATATGGAGGGGATTTCTAAAAATGTGTGTGTTGTTTTTGTTGTTGTTTGGTGGAGGAAATGGAATTTGATGGAAGGGAAGAAGCCTCTCTCTTGTTGGTCGGTCGGGGTCTCGTTTTCTTGTTGTTTGCTCAGTGGCGTGCACAACCGCAACTAATTGGTCTATCGATTGATTGAATCAATCCGATTCATTCTGATGGATGGATGGCGCACTCGTAGGCAATCTACAAAATTTGTCAATGGCCGTGCCTGGCTCGATGTTTGTTTTCTTGACGAAACCAAATGTTGTTCATTGCTGGGCAACTGCATGTTGGCGAGCGAGTTCGTTGCGGTGGCATAGAGAACGCTGATGCTTGCCTTTCGTACTGAAAGCAACGAAGAAAGAGACTCGACAAAGGGCGGAGACAATGGATGATGGCTTCGTTTTGGATGTTATACAAGTTGGAAAATTAAAAACGTGGATTACTCTCTGTGTCGTTGTTATTATTTGTGCGGTGATGCCTGATGGAATGAATTGCATTTACTAGTACATACATATAAGAATAAATAGGATTTTGCATGCGACAGTTTTGGGGCAACAGGGGAGTTTATCCTTTGAAAGAGTGCAATCGGACTCGGCTCGGGTTTGATGTACTGGTACCTCCGGAGTTGGGTTCACTACGTCGAAGGGCGGCTAAGGCTCAAAGGGGGCCACCGTGTCCTTTCCAGGACTGTATCAGTATTGTGGACGGGAATCGAGTCCTTCGAGTTGTCTTCTGTTTCGAAAGTATCAAAGCACTGGAAGTTCGGATCGGAAGGGGAGTTACAAACAAAACAATACATGTACATCCCGGTATCGACGATATCGATATCTGTTTTATTTTTTTACGGGCACTAGCGCCACCTTTGTCGTAAATCCTGTCTCCCATATCGGTACAGAGTACCGGTGCCCCCGGTAGCTGGCAGCTGGGGAGTGGCAGTGTGTATGCAGCTAGTTGCGTGGCCAGGGAACTGACGATGGTTCGTCCCTCACAGGTTCGCACAAACTAGGCATTGCAATTGTAAGAGATCAATCGAAACGTTGCGTACGAGCCTTTGCTGACCGAAACTGCTGGCAACATACTATTGTTCTCCAAGAGTCTCAAACTGTTCGCGATTGAAAGGATCCGCTCGCTTCCTCGGCTAAAGCAGAGATCAAATTTTCCGACATGCGGTCTTTCTGTTAGGTCAAGCTCCACATCGATCATGTCGCCAGCCTTGAAGCAATCTCGAGTTGTGCTGAACAGGCGCTGAGAAGATCCCAATGACCACATCTCCTTGTCACTTGTCAAACCATGCGCAAACTCGTGACCGGCCAAGTACGAATTCAGACTCACAGATTCGAAACCACAAGTCATGACACCCAGCCACAGGACGGAATCTTCCCCAGCCTCTTCAATCTTGATGGTCCACTTGTGAATCTTGTTGCGGGTTGTCATAGGTGGGACGCTTAGAACATACCCAATGCCTGTGTCCAAACCTTCCAGGCTAATGCGGGTCGAAGTGGCTTTCCAACTATCGCGGTTTTGGTCAAGACGAGCCTTTTTGAAGTCGACCCCGTATGTCTTCTTGGCCGCCAACGCTAAACTTTTGAAAGCTTTGGCCAGCTGTGATGACGTTGCCAGACCAGATGATTCAACAGATGTGGAGAGCATCTCGGGATCAAGCATTTCCAGACGTACGTGCTGCTCGACAAGCTTGCTAGCGCTGGAGTTGCGCTCTTCGCCACTGACAGACCAGAGTCTAATGATTTCAAACCGCATAGCATCATCTATCCCAGTTCCCTTGTGAGCAACAATTTGTTGAAGAGTTTCAAAGCTCAAGAGACCCACCAATGCTGGATCCAAAGATGCTATGCCATCCATGGATTCAATCGCTGACAATGCCATGGATTTCATCCCGTCCAGTGCATCAGGACCCTCTGCTTGGCAAGCTTCCAGAATCGAGAATGACAGCGACGGTGTCTGTCGTAGTTGCCGTAAGACACAGCTGTGGGCTCGCCGGCCAAGCCCCGGCAAGTCGTAGTACAAGGCGGCAGCTGACAATTGGACAACACGTTGGATTTCAAGATGAAGGTTTGCCGAAGCATTGTCCCATGCGCTTCCCTTGCCATCGAGTTCCACTTTCAACAGATCCGAATCGCCCAGATGAACATACTCCAAGACAGCCTTTACGACGTCACTTGGAAAATGGCTCTCCACCGGAGTGTCTCGTTTGGATTCGGCAAACTTTCCCAAGAACAGTTTTTCAAAGTAAGAGCTTTTCGCCGCCAGTGCCAGCCGATTGGCCGACACTTTCACTCCGTCGCTGCACTGGATGTCAACATCATGGTATCGTTCATCCGTCCAAAACTTGGCAAATGCCTGGGAGATTGTCGGTTCCATGGTCGCCATCGTCCTGGTGGTCGTTGGTTTCGTCGAATAGAATCGAATCGTTGATCGAATTGTGGCTTCTCTTGGCATTGGCGCCTTCTCTCGCTCGTCTTTGGAATTGTTTCGCTCAATAACGCTTCACGGTACTCAAAGAGCATCAATCTTCTCACAAAATAGTGGAGCAAGTGAGAGTTCTATTTCGTTTCAGTACAGTTTCTACACAACTCAATCAACGGCAAAAGATGTTCTTCGAAGAGTCGAGCGGAAAGAGCGACTGCGCACCTTGGGAAAATGAAAAATGGGACCCCTCTCATCGAAAGCCCAAGAGCCACAGTCCATCATCAAGGGGAAGCATACTTACTATTGTGCTTTCTGGAACCATCAACAGCAGCAGTACCGTATAGCTAGCTCTTATCTCGCAACGAAGAGTAGGTATTGATTGAGAATGGAGGACCATGAAGACCCGTACGAGATCTTGGGCGTCCCCAAGGACGCCACCGAAGCCGAGATCAAGAAAGCATACAAGCGCAAAGCACTGAAACATCATCCGGACAAGCAGTCGACAGAAGAAGGCCGAAACCATGCGACGGTCGAGTTTGCCAAGATTAGCAACGCCTACGAAATTCTGGGCGATGCCACGCAACGAGCCAACTACGATCGAGAACAAGCCCGTGGTGGAAGTGCCAGTGCCAACCGACCGTATTCCAAAATGCCACGACGTCAACAAGATGATTTCTTTTTCCATCATGCGCAATTCCACGATCCCTTTCGTGTCTTTGAATCCTTTTTTCGCAACGAATTTGGAGATGAGTATTTCAACACTGCCTTTTCTGCCAATGGACAACAACAGCAACAGCAGCCACGCAACAATACTAATAGTCGACGCAGCAACAACAATATGCCACAGCATCCTTTCAATGATCCTTTCTTTGGAGGTGGAGGTGGTTTGTTCCAAGATCCCTTCTTTGGCGGAGGCGGAGTTGCCAATGATCCATTCTTTGGTGGCGGCGGAATGATGGGAGGTGGTGCAAGTCCATTTGCCTCCATGAACGGCATGATGAACAATATGATGAGCATGAACAATATGATGCACATGAACAATATGATGAACGTCCATCAGCAATCCATGAATTCCATGATGCGACGACAACAACAGCCACAACAACAACAACCCGCAAATCCATTTGGACGAGGACAGCAACAACAATCCTTTGTTTATTCCAGCAGTTCCAGTTCCAACCTAATGGGGGGACGGGAGAGTGTCACCAAATCGACCACAACAAGAATTATCAATGGGCGACGTCAAACCGTGACGGAACGAATTGTGCAAAAAGCCGACGGCACGGTCGAACGACATGTCGAGACACTGGGAGATGACAATTTTCAACAACAACAACAACAACAACAACAACAACCGCGTCTCTCCAATGGATCCAATCGTCGTCAAGCCCTTCCAGAGGCAGCGCGTCGAGATTCACACGGTAGTCAGAAATCCAACAAAGACAACAAGAGATCCTATTACAAACGCAAACGACGAGATTCGTCTACTCGACAGGTGCAAGAGTGATTTGATTCGATTCTTGTCATGCTCTCGTTTCCTCTCGAACTCTTACCTACCTACAAACAAGCAATCCACACGCCCGAGCCCTTGATGACCTTATTACTGAATGAATTGATGTGTGTTAAATTAGAACGGCCTCGGTGGATTGAATTGAGCTGAATGGAACTATGTTAGGTTGGAATCGAATCATTCAAGTTGAGAAGAGAAAATGGTGGATCGTGCGCGCAGCATGGAAGTTTTCTAGTTAGGTTTTAGTTGGTTTAGGTGTTGGACACCTATTGATCGGACGAAGCTCAATTATCAGGTACAACAGTAGTAGAAGATTCGATTCGTTTAATTAATTCTCAGGAAACTTTTACCCTACCGGTACGCACTAGTAGTACTTGCCAAATAGTAGGCTCATCCAAAACAATTGCCTACCGGTGGATTTGTTGGTACCAGTTGGATATCAAGCCAAGGTATGGTAGTAACAGATCATCTATATTCTGAAACACTGCAGAATTCATGAGCTAGCTACTGTATAGCTAGTAGATTGCTAGCTAGCTAGATGAGTACAAGCTGTCCGGCAAAGGACTTCTCATGGAGGAATCACAACCTTCTTGGTATTTCGTGCGCACATGGACAAGAGATCCCAACATGAAGTTGCTCTATCAACTAACTAGCTAGTTTGATGGATCCTGCATGGTCCAAAGAGTACGCCGTACTTTTGCTACCATACCACAAACAAGCTCGTCTGATTGGAATCTAAGGACAATGGGATCATACTATCTGACTCTTAGGATCTAGCTAGCTAGACTAGCTTTCCAAAGCTGCCAACCGCTTCTCCAAATCCGTTTGTTTCTTGATCATTTCCTTGTTGCCTTCTCGTAATTCTTTATAGAGAGTGTATTGGGTTCCCAGAGCCATCAAACCGGCTCCCACCAGGAAGGACGAGACGCGTTGAAAGAAACCGGCACCGCCACCACCGCCTCCACTCGAAAAGGCCCGGCTATTCTGACGAATACTATTAATAGCAGCCACGCCGAATCGAGACTGCACAAAAAGATTGGAACGAGCATGGTTGATTCAATAATTAGTCAATAATAAAGAAACAAACTGGATGATTGGAAGGATGCCAGAGAACAGGCACACACAGAGCCGTGCAACAACTCTCGATTCGATTCGACGGCCATGAAAGAAGCATCATTGCATGTATGTGACCTACCTGGATTGCTCTGTTCGAGTGGAGCGACAAGGACGCTGATAGTGGTCGGATCATGGCAAGAGGATTGGAATTCAAACAAAACCAACAAGCAGTGGAACGACAAGACGGTCAGTGGAGGCTCTCACTTTCATCGCCCAAGCGAAGATCTTCCCGAAAACCGAAAAGATACTGTACGCAAATGTCTTTTAAATCCTAAGCGGTACCCAAAGCAATATGCATTCATGACTTGACTTCTAATTCTCAACATTGTTGGGGTTAGGAATGCACTCTGGTACCGTTCATATGCCCTCTGGGTCGTCTCCGTTTCCAGTACTAGTTTAACTTGTCTACTAATACAGGATAATGGTGAATAGAATCGAATGAATCATGTGGCTTATATTTAGGGTTTAGGTTTTGCAATTTTGAAGTCAACGTGGTTTATGTGAGTTGTAAAAGTTTTGTGTGATAGTATGGTTAAGTGGAGGGTTGGCTCCTTCCGCTGGGAGCTTGGTGTCTTCTTTTTCCTCTGTTCCCGCTCTTCGTCGGAACTGGGTATTCGGTAATAGGATCGTGAGCAAGTTCGGCAGATTTCTTCATACCTTGTGGAGTTTCATCATTCTGACTATTCGCAGTGACACTTTGGCCGACGTGTTCTGTTGCGAACAGGTGGAACGGGGATGACGTATTTGGTTGCTTGGAACTGGGAATGGTTTGTGAATAATATTGGGAGTCCAGTATTGAGGATTTGAAGTGAGGGCACGGGGGATTTATACGGGAAGCTACCTGTAGGAGACTTACCACCTTTCTCCTGCTGGTGCTTTTCAGAAGAGTTCCCAAGAAGGCCTCAAAGTTCATGCCGGGGGTAGTGCAAAACCATGGGGAAGGGCCAGGGTGGCAGCTTGAAGGCGAACTGGTGGAGTAAGGTGGGGGCGGGGGATGGTGTGCTGCGTAGTGGCTTGTAATAATGTTGCGACGGGCACCAGTGATGGCCCGCATGCGACCGAAGTCGATGCATCCAAGGTTGTTTCGGTGAAACCAACGGACGTAAACGTGAAGCCGGGAGTTGACCAGAGGCCAAATAGAGTACACATGGCCCTTGTCGTCCTTGAGGAATTCGGATACAGTGCGGTATTCGCCTTGATCGATCCAAGAATCCGTCACAAGGTGAGTCATGATGTCGGAGTGGGTGATCAGCTCACTCCAGGTGTCATGGACCTTGTACCACTTGTCTGTTCGTCGAGAACTAGGAAGGTTCATCCTTCTTTGCCGGTCGTACACGTATTGCATGTAGGCCGGTTTAAAGGTTTCATTGAACCACTTCAAGGCCATTTCTGGGGTTGGATCTGGGGCAACAAACGTTCACCAGTTTGTCCGTCAACTTCACTCTGGGGCACATGATAACAAAGCCTCTTTGGTCATAAGCAGTACGTTGGTGGCCTCGTACATAAGGAGCTTTTCCCCATCAGCAGAAGCGGGGTCCACCAATTTGAATACCCACTCGATCATGTGCTTGTCAGCGAGGGCTTGAACAAAGGCCATCATGTCTTTGGGTTTAACGCCGTTGAGGGGTGGTCTTTGCGTCGGTTGTACATACACCCGGTAGCTTTCTTTTAACAAAGCCTGTGAACTTGAGGAACATTCCGGGGAAGGGGTATTTTCGTCTTCCTTGAGGTTCTGGGAATTACAGCGTGGAACTCACAGGAGTTGAAAGACCTCTTGCTTTGTTGGCCGGTTTTCTTCTTGCTGTTGATACCCGCGGAAGTAGGGGTTCGATTGCGACGACGTGTGTTGATGTCGGGTGTTTGGGAGACATGGTGAAGGAGTTTGAAAATTTGAAGTCCGAAAGAGGAAGGTGAGTGGCCATGTTGAAAGGCAAAACATTGTCAACAGAAGAAGGTAAAATAGAAGTACTTACGTGGGCAGGAGAGATGGCTGATGGGTTGGCTGCTGGTAGGATGAGGGATGTTTGAGGTTTTGCTGAACTGATTTTGTGATGTTTCAAGATGATCGATGCGATAGGAATGGTTGCATTATACATTTTCAATGCAAAGAAAGTATATATAGAAAGCGGGGATGTCTTCGCCTGAGTGTATTCGCTGATACGATTGAGCGGAGATCGTGTAGCCTGGCTTGTAATCCTATAGTGAAACAGTACACTTGTATCGAAGGGGGAAGGGGCGTTGCCAGCGGAAGTCGTGTACGATACCTTCGCTAGAAATCGCAAGTTTTCGTGAAAGATTCGATTTGAATTATTTAAGGGACAGTACCGTAGACACATGAAGAACACACGTGTGATTGGAGTTGTGTGAAATCCCCCAATTGCTGCCGGCAGGGATTTAGGGTATTTGAAACGGTGCATATATAATGATATTTTATCCTACCACCAGATGACTAGAGCGGCCCTCACGATTTTTGATTTTCGGGGTATATGTCATCTAAGTGAAAATCACAGCGAGATGGGAGCGGGGCGCGGATGTAAATGAAAGACGTGGGATTTACTTAACGATCAACATACAGATTAGGAAACGTGTGCGACTGGTTTCGCTGAATGAATAAAGATTTGTCACGCTGTTTTCATTGTGTGGTTGGGTGTAGATAGCGTTGATTGCCTACAGTGAAGTCAGCTGATCTATCGTGAAAATTGATCGGAGTATAGATAATAGAGTACAATTTTGCTTCGATTACCACGATGCATACAGCGAAAGTGTCTGTTCGAAGAACTGTGGAAGATAGGCTTCGTTCTAACAAAATCCTAATGGCAGGATGTGTTCCTTACATTGCAGTGCTTCGTGGGGCTTTCTTTCTTCTTGGTGGCAGCTTCCTGTCCATGTCCAACTTTGAGCCTTTTGAAATTATCGCAATGTCAAGACCGTGGATGCGTTCAGGCTAACATCAACCGTCGGTATGACAATCTGATGATGATGGATCCATGGACCAAGACGTTTACGCCCTATGTCTGCTGGTATGCGATGAAACCATCATGCATGAAAACAATGTGGAATGGTTGTTCTTCGATCAGTTAAAGAAGGTTCAAGAAAATCTACGTTGGGACAAAGTCTTCCAAGATCATCCGGAGTACCGTTGTAAGCTGTTGAAGACTGTTACCGCTTTAGGGATCCACCTGCGAGGGTTCTGAAGGATGTCGAAGATGGCTTGTGAACTGGCGCTTTCACCACGTGGATTTTACGGGAAAAGGCGCAACGGTGGAAATGGGGCATA